TCGGGGCGATGTGCAGCCTGGATGCTGCTCTCATCTCCACCTTTCTCAACTCCATCCTCCCCATGGAGCTGGCCAGGGACCTACAGACTGACACACAAGGTGAAAACACTTTCATGTCACTGTCTCCTATAGTCGTACTCCCCAAGCTTAATATTATATTATATATTCTGTATTATATTATCCACAATTTCTCATGTATTTTTCTTTCTTCAGAACACCAGAAGATGTGTTACACAGCTTTGGTACTTACCATGATCTTCTCAATGGGCGAACAGGTGCCATATCATCACTATGGTATGATTTATATAAAGCTGCTATAACATACATTTAATACTCATTCTTCCAAAACAACTTGCATTTTTCACTTTATCTGACAGATTATAACAGCTTTTCCCAACCTGTGCATTAAATAGTGTATTAAAGGAGTTAATGTGTTCTTTAATTAACACATAATCCTGACCCTCCCTGCTTTCAGAACACTTGAATGCTGACTTTGTGGAGTTTCTGCTGGGTGTGGTGGAGGACGGGCTTCCCTCTGATCCCACGGAGCAGCTGCCCGACATCTTCCTGAACCTCGTGCTGGCCTTCAACCTGCATCACACAGGTGAGAACAGCCATTCACAGCAAGAAAAACACTCAGCAAAAGTACAACTAATAACATTAATGACATTAATAACATTAATCCTTTCAAGTTTACCGATTCCAGACACAAGATTAAGATTCATTAATGTTTCTAGTTATACTAAAAAGGTCCAAAGGAGCAGTAATGGATAACAGACTTATTAGATATTTTACTGTTTTACCATAAATACTTTGTTGTGTCTTATCTGTGTCACCCAGCACCCAGCAGCAATGTGATCATGCAGGAGCTGAAGAAGAAAAATGTCAAGATCCTGTCAGAGAAAGTGCTGCTACTTCTGAACCGAGGCGGTAAAAACCTCTTTTGTTTGTCATATTTCTCATTTTGCATTTATGCTTTCTTGCCACGGACATCTTTACTCACTCTTTATTTACTCTGCCCCCCTCGTCTCCAGACGACCCTGTGTGCATGTTCAAACACACCCCGCCTGCACCGCACTCAGTGCTCAAGTTTTTGCAGGATGTTTTCGCCAGCCAAGAGACCGCAGACATCTTTTACAGCACTGACATGATGGTGATGATTGACATCGCCGTTCGACAAATATCTGACCTTTCACCTGGAGACAAGGTGAGACCTGGATACACGCACAGGAATAGTTTTGGGAAATTCTCTTTTTTGCTTTCTTACTGAGAGTTTGACGAGAAGATTGATACCTCTGTCATGTCTGTAAGGTAAATATGAAGTTAGAGCCATCAGCCGGTTAGCTTAGCTTAGCACGAAAAAGAGGAAATGGTGGGAAACAACTAGTCTGACTCCAAAGATAACAAAATATGTCTACCAGCTCCTCTAAAGCTCACCAAATAACATTTTAAATCTGGTTTGTTCAGTCCATACCAAAAGACAAATAGTAAAATCCAGAAGTTGTGGTTTTACGGGGGTTATTTGCAGGACTACTTCTGGGCTGGGAGCAGTGACTTCCACATGACTCCAGCCTCATATTTAACAGATAGATATGAGAGAGGTACTAATCTTCTAATTCTCAGAAAGAAAGCGAACAAGTGTATTCCCCAAAATGTGAAGCTATTCCTTTTATGATACCTGCTGTACCAGCTGCTGTTGTCTGATTATTTCCTCTATCGCCCTCCCTGTGAAGCTGCGGATGGAGTACCTCTCCCTCATGCACTCCATAATACGCTCGACGGACTACCTCGAGCACCAGCACCGCTTGTCCGACCTGCAGGGGACGCTGCAGAGGATTCTCAGGGAGGAGGAAGATCCGGGAGAGGAGGAAGGGAGCGCCACAGCGAAACAGATGGATAAGCTAATTGTACAGCAGATCTACAAAGAGTTCCCACAGATCTGCGAGAACCAGGACTAACCATATCAGTATCGTGCTCACACACTGTAGTCTGCTCCCGTCTACTGCAGGGAGGTACAATAAAGCCTGAAAGAAGAACAACTAACGTGTTCAGTGCCAGCCTGTGATGAGAGAAGCTAAATTGATTTTGCCAATGTTTTCTTGGACTCGTAGTCCAGGGCTGCAGCATGCTCATGATGTTGATTTCAGAAAGAGAAAGAGCTGTTTTTTACAGCTTTTTCTTCTCAAATGAACTTCAGTTGAAAAAGGAGTGGGAGTTTTTTTTTTCTTTGGTTTTTTTTTTCAAGAAGGAGAAAAATATGACATTAAAAAACCTGCGAGGTTTAGTCATAGATGGAGATTAAGTATAGCCAAACCTTGGAGCTGTTTCACAGTGAATCCCTAGCAATAATTACCTTAAAAAATCATACATGAACTAATTGTATGTACTCTTAGTCAAAGTACTCAAAGTAACCAACTTAGTCTGACCAAAATAACTTTAACCAAATTGATTTTTAGAACAAATTCAAAGATTGTTAATGAATCGGGCAGATTTGAAGTGACGTTACTGACAACAGTGCCATTATTTGAACCGGTGTGAGAATACTTTTGTGTGCTTCCCTGTTAGTGGGACCAAACTACTGTGTGTTACTGAGAGCATCATTTTCATTATAGAGTATAATACTCTTTAAAAAACTGACTTCCTGTCTCTCTCTCATTAATTAGAATTAGAATTAAAGTCAAGTTGAACAGGTTTACTCTTCTAGTGAAAAAGCAAGCACACTCTGACTCGTGTTATCATTACTAAGCTTTTAGCTGGGTAACCTTTGCTGCTACGTATTGAGTCTCTCCTGTGGCTCCGTCTGCAGTTTTCTCAGTCTGGTACTTTTGTCTCTTTACTGCGTTTCACTTCAACATGATCACTATGTACTTACATATGCAAAGCTCCTCAAGCATTAGAAGTCACTGACTGTTTAATGTCTGTTGGACTGAAGGGTTTTCGTCCGTATGCTGCATTCATATTCAAACTAACTGTTCTGCAATAAGGCTTTATAGCAACTTGTAATATCGCTGTAATATACTGAGTCTTGGCTGATGTGAGCTACGACTTCATGGAGGGGGAAATGTGTTCTGCACTTATTCATACATTATTCAGTGTTGTTGATTTCCAGTTATTATCTGATGCTCCTACTGAAAATCAAGACAATGGAAATACAGGGCATTTCTTTTATCCCCTTGTGGTTCTAATACGTTGACAGCAACATGTACCTTTCCTTATTTCTTCCCCACGGTGCAGTGATTGATGTTGTTCTCCCATCGTACACTTATCTGACTTATCTGTTTTGGTCCCTGGCATGGCTTCCCGTTCTGGAAACATGTTCCTGAGAAGGTAGACACAATCCAGAAGTGATATCAGTTTTTAGTTAATGTCCCGAGTGTTCATTAATTATTTGTGTGTCTGTTTACAGCGTGTGTGAGGGAGATGAATGTCTCTTCTTTCCATGATTAACATTGTCTGCAGAAGTGCTACGACTGTGTTATAATAAAAACTAATAAAGCTATATTTTAACAGTGAACGTGGTCGGATTGGTTGTTGAGCGGGTGACTGTGTGACATTTTGGTTGAAAGTTTACAACATAATAAGACATTAATTCAGAGTTTTGTGAACATGTAGGTCAGACTCAGGACACAGCAAACAGGAGTGAGATTTAACTAAGATAAAAGTTATGTGTGAGTGTTGGCAGCAAACAGAAGCAGCTGAGTCTAAAGTTTAAAATGAAAGAAAGATGATTAATGTTACTCCTGTAATGGTCCTGTGTTTGACTCATTCTCAGTTTCCCCTCAGAAGTCCTACTGTTGACTTGTTTCCCCTTTCTTATGAGGATGTTTGTGTTTGCTTGCTTTCTTGTAAACCTTTTGTCTTCTTCCTTTATTTATTTATTTATTTATTTATAAATAAATATTAATGTTTTTATTAATGAAATGCTGAATATATACATGTATGGTAAATATTGAAAACTATTCCTCACCAAAGAAAAAGAAGCAGATTTAAGATTATTTTTTTAAGTGAGCGCTGACCAGTGTTGGGCAGTAACTCATTACTAGTAATCAGATTACTTTTCCCAGTAACTGGTAGTGTAACTAATTACTAATACTTACAGTAATAACATTACAGTTACTCATCCAAAAAATAATTAGTTACAATATTACTTTCGTTGTCACCCTCTACTGATTTGAAATCAACAACAATGTGATGGAGGAAAATATTTTGGAAGATTCAACAAACAAACATTCAGCAGCTGGAAATATTCCATTACTTTAATTTGAACAAACAAAACTGGATTTTAATCGTCGTACATCTGAATTTTGGGGAGATGGGACACAATTACCAATCTATAATACCAGTTTTGCGGGGAGAAGCAGAAAAGTAATAAAACTAGTAGAGTAACTAATTACTGTTAGTATGGAGTAATAAGTAAAGTAATGATATCACTTTTTAAAAGAGTAATGAGTAATATATTACATTTTATGAGTAACAAGCCCAACACTGGTGCTGACTGTAGCTTGCAGGTGAGATTTAAAGACACAACCTGCACAAGCTTGATAAATAACAGATATTATGATTTCTTGTTTAACTATACAGAACAGTGCCATAGATATAGTTTGTATATATATGTAGTGTCTTTAGTATCTATATTTTATCTGTAATAGATTGTCTGTAATGTTCATTTAAATTATATAACAGTGTTATAACCGTTCTTATTCTCAATCTAATTATACACCAATTGATGTACAATGGATACAAATAAAAATAATATACAATATATATATATATATATATATATAATGTGGAATTTCTTTTTTACATAGAGAATTCACCTTTTTCTTGGGAATAAACATGAATACATTTTAATTTATATATCACATTAGCACATAATTCAATACACAACATAACAACAATAAAGGCTTGAGTGTTTATGGATGTTTGCATTTATTTATGTATCATTTAACTTTATTTATTTATTCGAGTTTCAAGCTCACATTGAACGTTTCCACCCGGACACCAAACAGAGACGCACCGGAGTATCGCTGTGCGGCAGTCAAACCGGTCCGGGTACACAAGTGGGTGAAAGGTCCGAGAGCAGTGACAGCAGCACACAAACACCTTCTCCAGAGCCACAGGACACCAGGTTAAACACAACAGAGTCTATTCCCGGAGTCGGTTTCATCCAGTCGCCGTTGTTTGTTTGTTTGTTTGTTTATTTTTGTTTGTTTGTGTTTTCTTCCAGCAGAACGGAAAGTAAAAATGTCCAAACAGCAGCCGATCAGTCCGATGAAGAACTTCTTCGCCGGAGGTTTTGGAGGAGTCTGCCTCGTCTTCGCCGGACATCCACTCGACACCATTAAAGTAATGAGTCCACTTTTTGTGTGTCTCACTTCTTCGCTGCATTCCGGTCGGAAACAGGAGTGTGACGCTGCAGATAGACAAACATATGGCAGATATTTGTTCCTCAAGAGTATCAGGCTGCTGCTGACCTTTGACCCACTTTCAGTGTATCGTATGTCTCAGCTGCCTCCTGCAGACCTCACCTGAATGCATCTTAGTGCAGATGTGTAGGTGTTTGTGTGGGTGGCAGGTAATCAATAACAACAAATTCCACTTCAGAGATGCCAAATATGTGTTTGAGGTAGTTATAAATATGTCTATGCAGTTATTTAAACCTTTATTATCACTATATAAAGTCGTGTTTTCAATATTGACTCTGAATATTTGACTTATTCCCTGTCTGGCTTGTAGTCAGAGGTCAGAGGTCAGGTCTCTGTGCAGCCCCGGTTCAAGTTCCTCCACATCAATCTTTGAAAACTTTTCTTTATGGTGCGAACTGTTTCCACTGTGGTGTTTGACTCCTCTTCTTCTTCTCAGGTGCGTTTACAGACGCAGCCCAAACCCAAACCCGGAGAGCGCCTCCTGTACGCCGGAACCATCGACTGTTTCAAGAAGACCTTAGCCAAAGAGGTGAGGATGCACGCTGACGTGATCTCCGGGATACATCAGATAGAATGTAAGAATTACAAATTATTATAATATCTAAAATGTTTCCTCGTCATCTTCACAGGGTGTGAAAGGACTCTACAGAGGCATGGCGGCACCCATCATCGGAGTCACGCCCATGTTTGCCGTCTGTTTCTTTGGATTCGGACTGGGCAAGAAGCTGCAGCAGAGGACCCCCGATGATATCCTCACGTAGGTGACTGCTCTGTCGGTGGTGGCGCTCTTCACTTCCACTGTGGGTAATAACATGTACGTACGTCTTACCGTCTCCTGCAGGTATCCACAGCTGTTTGCCGCTGGGATGTTGTCTGGTGTGTTCACGACGGCCATCATGGCTCCTGGAGAGCGCATCAAATGCCTCCTACAGGTCAGAGGTCATGTCTTTGTACAGATATACAGGAGGTATATTATAGTTCTGTGTGCCACTATGGTTCAGACTGCCTCCTGTCACTGATCTTTTATTGCTTCAGATTCTGGAGAGGTTATCTGAAATAGTGTGTGTGTGTGTGTGTGTGTGTGTGTGTGTGTGTGTGTGTGTGTGTGTGTGTGTGCGTGCAGATCCAGGCATCGTCAGGAGAGGTGAAGTATGCGGGACCCATGGACTGTGTCAAGCAGCTGTACAGACAGTCGGGGATCAGAGGAATCTACAAAGGCACCGCTCTGACTCTCATGAGAGGTGAGAGGTGCTTTCTTTACTCCGATAGGATCTAAAACCTCGAGCAGGAGGCACAACTTTAACAACGAGTAGACGAAATAATAATAAGAACAATTTATGGAAAAAGACTTAAACTCTTAAACATGCCCTGATTACATTCACTGAAGCACATTGTGTGTATCCCTGAGATCTAACAAACAATTTGAATGCCCTTCCTGCCTCTATAAAACAGTTACATCCTGCATATATATATTTTGAATCACTGCCTTTGTTGCACGTCTTCTTTCACATGTATCCGTTTATTTATCGATCATTTAAAAGTAACTGTATTTCATGTTTTGTAACTCAGATGTTCCAGCCAGTGGGATGTACTTCACATCCTACGAGTGGTTGAAGAACGTCCTCACACCAGCAGGAAAAAGGTGAATATTTCCTCTTTCGTTACAGTTTCTACTGTCATATTGTTAAAAAACAAACAACCTCTGAGCAGGTGAACCTGTTGTCTTTTCCCTGCAGCCATAATGAGCTCAGCATTCCCAGCGTGCTGTTTGCCGGGGGGATGGCGGGGATCTTTAACTGGGCTGTTGCGATTCCAGCCGACGTGCTCAAGTCTCGTTTCCAAACAGGTTTGTTTTAAGGTTCCACTAGTTGCTGTTTGAGTATGAGGCTCTTATCAAGTCTTGCACCCAGTTCAGAGAGGTCTTTTTTCCCTTGTTGGTTTTTTCTATGTGTAAATAAAGAGGTGTTAGGATGCTGAAAGAGCCAGTAAAGTTCAGTGTTCAGTCTATGAAGAGGTAGTGTGATATCTCAAAGTACTGGTCAGTGGAAACTGGAGTTAATGGTTAAAGTCCCCAGTTGTCCGCCCCAGTCAGGAGAACTAGCGAAGCCTCTTATATGAGCTTTGAAACACCTCTAAGACTACTTGACTACTTCTATAAAACGTCTTCTCTTTACATTTTCTTTTAGGAGCAGGTTGTTATTTAAAAATGTGTCTCTCTCTCAGCTCCTGAAGGAAAGTATCCCAACGGTTTCCGGGACGTTCTGCGGGAGCTGGTCAGGGAGGAGGGCGTGGGCTCGCTGTACAAGGGCTTCAATGCTGTCATGCTTAGAGCTTTCCCTGCAAACGCAGTGAGTGCACTTCACGTATTCTTCGGTTCAGTAACACTGTGACGAGCTCAGAGGAGCTGGTTGGTTCATAGATGGTTTGATGGGAAGAAACTTAGTTTTGAGATTAGTAGCAGCCGTATATGGTAGTGACTGGAAGAATGACATCAATGTCACCGTGCTACAGATCAGATGTAGTCCAATCATTACACCGACCTGTAGTGAGTGTAATGAGTGTTTTAATGAAAGTTGCATGCATTTACATGTTAAGGATTTAGACCAAAAACAAAACCAACTCATAAATTGATTCACCAACATACCGTATACAGCACTTTGACTTGTCCTGTTGTCCCGGGGACAATAAAAATACCACCTGGGACACAAAGACAGGTACAGGGAAGCCTCCTAATGCATGTAAGACTATCAAGACAGGAGGTCTATCCACAATTAAAATCTTTATTCAAATCAACATTAATTTGCTCTAAGTAACTAGTTTTTATGTATATTCTTTTCTCTTACTGATGGTAAACTGTCTGCCATGATATAATAGAGTTTCTGCTAATGTAAAATGTATTTATCATGTTTACATGCCATGGAATATATATTATTTGAATTGTTAGGTGTTCAAATTCATACATTCAAATATATTATATTGTAATTCATTCCCATGCGTGCTGCTCAGAGTCAGTAGATGTGGCCTGTGGAGCTTGTTTGATCGCTCACTCTTTCTCTCCGGATCTCTGGATTAGTGTGTTGTTATCTGTGTAAATATGTAAATAGTTTGTTTGAGCTTCTCCCACCCTTTGTAGATTTAAACTTTACTTCAAGTATAACTGGTAGAACTTCCTCGACGGACCAGAGTGAGGCAGTGAAGTGATGCGAGTTACTGAAACAAAGTTATTCAACTATATTCATTATGTAGAATGAAAAAGAATTTCAGTTTGGCACAATTGTTGTTAACTTTGGGACAGTTGAATGTAGAATTTGGGACAGTTTTGGGACACTGAGACAAAAAGTAAATTTTTCACCCTGACCATCTATTTTAACACCTCAAAACACCAAAATTAGTTTTTCCTTTTCCTCAACACAAAGATTCTGAAATAGATTAAGAAATTTAAGTACGTTTTCAGTTTCCAATCCAGTAAATGTGTGAGTCAGTGTATTACTGCACAGTATCCGTTATTCTAAAGAAGTTAAATTACATTTTCAGAATCTTATTATAATCAAGTTCTTGTCAGATGATATTTCATCGTACATTTAGCCAACTGTAATCAACAATATCAGCTGATACCAAGTATGTTTTGTGCATTTTAACCCTTATATTTGGTTGTGGATAGTACAGCTGAAACAATTCATTGATCAATAAATTATTGGACTGACAGAAAATGAATCGCACAGGTTGGTTTTTAAGAGAAAACTAATTTGTTTGTCACATGTGACTATAAGATGAATGTCTTTGGGTTTTGTACTGATCAAAGAAAAGAGAGAGAGAAAACCCAAAGCTAACTCATAATATGGTGTCATCAAAAATACTTTATACAACAATAAAGGATGTAAACACAAAATCTGAGCACAGTAATTCTTTATTTATCTATGCTGTGATGTGTTGTAAAGATTGTACTAACTCCATCACTGTTACACACAAACTGAACCATTGTGTCTTTGTGTATCATTTTTTTTTTTCAGGCCTGCTTCTTAGGATTTGAGTGTGCGATGAAGTTCCTGAACTGGTTAGCACCGGACCTGTGATGAAGGCTGAGCGCCGCCTCCAATGTATCCCAGGAATCCCAGGAATAGAACTCTTGAACCCAACTGAGTTATTAGCAGTACCAACACACACAGTGAATCAAACATCACCAAGAGATTTTCTTTTTGGCAAATTTTCCAATAATGTACTTGATAATATTTAAAACCCTGTGGTACTGTAGAGCACGTGGATCATTCAGACCTGCTGAGGGATCAGAGCTGAGACATTGTGATGACTCTGCACTTGTGCCAGTACACACACACACACACACACACACACACACACAGACAGTCGAATGTTCTCACTCCTTTTGTTTTACTTGTTTTTCTGATTTAAATTCTGTTATTTTTTATAGAAGACGAGGAGTGAACTGAACATGTCGTGCCTTACCTTTTTGTTATCTGCGAGCAGGTTTACATATCAGGGAAAAGGTGCATTTTGTTGTACTGTGTGTGTTCAGTCTCTCAGCAATACACACCTTTCAAACTGTCTGCTGCTTCCTGTGTGGTCACAGATACTAACTACACTTTTCTGTTTGTTTAAATGTGAAATGATGAAGGTAGTCATTATGAGATTGATTGAACAGTATGTGAATGTCAGAATGTATAGAAATAAATAAAAAAACAGATTCCATATTTACACATTAGTCTTGTCGTGCACTTTTTTCTGAATTCTCTTTTTATTTGTGGAGTATTTTACAATATACAAATATCAATCAATCAATGTGTCACGTGATCATATAAGGTACAATCACAGTGAAATGCAATCCTGTCATAAAACATAGAAACCTTGACTGTCCATTATTTAATAACTGCAATGAAGGATAATAAGAATAAATTATAATTATAATTTATATAAAAGCAAATAAGTAAAAGAAAATAAATACTAAAATAAAAATACAAGTTTAAGAACTTAAAGAAATGTCATGTCTTAATAATGTAAAAAATAATGGAAGTTTAGCCATCAAAATATAACATTTGAGAGGGTCATATAGAGGGTCACCAAATTTATGTGGGATTTGTTACCAGAATACTTTTACTAAATAAACCTGAGACCTCCAGAGAGGACTTCATAGTAGGAAAGACTAAATGTATGCTGTTGATTTGCCTCATTGTCTCCAGCAGCTGCAGGATTTCCTGTAATGAGTCCTGTGAACGGGGCATGTTGATGTCCAACAACATCTCTCCATAAGGTTGAATTTCATGCTCAGCTTCATGTTTTCCATCACATAAATGCTTCCTATTGGCTTACAGCTGTACCATTTCACTTACTTTGCTCAGTTACTATCTGTGTGTTAGATACAGTTCAGTCTGTCTCACGGTGTCTGTTTCTGCAGCTGTCTAACACCAGCCACTGTCCACTGCTCTGTCTCTGTGTTGTCGCTGCTTTGCCAAATCATCAAGTTCTGAGGCGTAATCCATCGGACAGCCTTTAATTACTTCTGCAGTGAAAAGTCCTGTTCAATACTTTCCGACAGGCTGTGCCAAATAAAGAAATCAATGAGCTGTTGGATGTTGGAGGCAGTGGGACGAGAGGAGGAGGAGTCAGGTCGCTCCTGTGATGACGGTCTGGGCAGAACTTTGATTATTAAATCTGTGGAACAAGCTGATGCTGAGATTTCATATTTCAAATCTAAATCTATTCGACATTTAGATTTGGTTTTGTGGTTACTTGTGAACTCTCAAGCTCCAGCCCTGTGACCTCTGAACTCGTATGATGACTGCTGTTGAGATACCGGCTGGTTTGAAAGAGCTGCTGCAGGGATACACAGTGGAGGTACTTCGCCGCAGGCCACCAGACTTGGTCGAGTTTGCCGTGCTGCATTTTACACGAATTCTGGAGGGCCACAGAAATGATCTGAAAGCCAAGAAACGCAGTGCCAAACCTGCACGGAAAGGAGTGACCTTTGAAACAAAGTCAGATAAACCTAACAAGGACGAAGAAGAAGAAGAAGAAGAAGAAGAAGAGGAGGAGGAAGACACTGTCAGTGAGTGTTGTTACATTATTTTGTTATGAGAACTGTGCCATGTAAATGTTTCAAACCCCAAAGCTTCAGTGTCAACATCACTCAAAGGAAACTGAGAAATTGTCCACAGAATGAAATTTACAAGCTCCCAAAAAATGTTTTATGGATGCAAAGTTTGACCTACAAGACCATGTGAGCAAGAACAGACTGTGTGCTGGTCTGAGACAAACAATTCCACCTGTAACTCATCACATGATACAAAATAACACTCATTAACACAAACAATTCACCCCATGTGTATACAAATTCAAGAGAGAAAATTGTACAGATGAGAAGAAACAACATCTCTCTCATACACACACACACACACACACACACACACACACACACACACACACACACACACACACACACACACACACACGTGACTTCCTTGTGCTTTTATAGACTTGTGAAATCTATTCTAACACATTCACTTCTCTCTCTGCAGAGTCCACCACCAGTAAATACAACCGCAGGGTTTCAGGTCAGTAACTGGAACAATATGTGTAATGAATATTAATACATGTTGACCACAGTCCGAAATTTTAAAATGTGTTCAACCCTGCTGCAGTTTGTGCAGAGGCGTACAACCCCGATGATGACGAGGACGACGACGCAGAGCTTCGGGTCGTTTACCCCAAAACAGATGAGCAGCGTCGCAGACTTCAGGACGCCTGCAGAGACATTTTACTGTTTAAAACACTGGAGCAGGTACAGCGGCACCAATCAGCTTCTACAGGAGGGGAAGAAGTGGCTGTTCTTATGAATATGAACTTTAGCTTTAAGACGCGCACACACACACACACACACACACACACACACACACACACACACACACACACACACAGAGGCTCCTAATGTATAAAAGTATTAATAAAATCAGACAGCTGAAACTCATCACTACAGTTCTCAGATATCTTTACACTGGATGTGTCAAAAAGACTTTAAAATACTGTTTTTCTGACACTTAAACAATAGAGACCTCTTGGAAACTTGAGGTCCGCTCCAGCAGTCAGTTGTTTTAACTGGAGCCCGGAGACTTTTCTGTTTGCACTTTTATTAAATGAAATATGTTACATGTCACTGTAGCTGCGCCATAACATTTATTATCCTGTTTATTCTGTTTTTATTCCACTTATTTTTGTCTCCTATTTCACTGAACTGTCTTTTAAAACCTTGTGATGCTTATTTTTATATGGCCTTGTGTTTCCATTACATCTCGTCTTAAAGCCTTTTTATGTTTTATGTAAAGCATTTTGTTACAAATAAACTTACTTTGTCCTCCAGGAGCAGTTTTCCGAGGTCTTGGACGGCATGTTCGAGGTGTTGGTCAAACCTCAGGAACACATCATAGACCAAGGAGACGATGGAGACAACTTCTATGTTATAGAGAAGTGAGCAACAGATGACACATTGTTTTGTTTGAACTAGACGACAGCGTGTCAGTCGTATAATGAATTCTACTCTTATCACTTCCAGGGGCGTGTATGACATTTTTGTGGAGAAGGACGGAGTGTGTGTGTGTGTGGGAAAGTACGACAACAAGGGTAGTTTTGGTGAGCTGGCTCTCATGTACAACACGCCGCGAGCTGCCACAATCGTTGCCACGCAGGAAGGCGCCCTGTGGGGCCTGGTGAGTACATCCTCTCAGCTGAAATAAAAGTAGAATTGAAACAAATAAACTATGTCGTTTTCGTTTTTCAGGATCGAGCCACATTTCACAGACTGATTGTTAGAAATAATGCGAAGAAGAGGAGAATGTACGAGGCCTTCATTGAGTGTGTTCCTCTCCTGAAGTCTCTGGAGGTTTGTGTTAGAAACAGAATAATCAAAGAATAGGTGGATGTTTAGTCGCCGTATTTGTTGTGTCACTGTGCTTCTTCATTTCTTTTCACAAGCCCTCTGAGAGAATGAAGATTGTAGATGTTTTGGGGGCCCGAGCATTCAAAGATGGAGAGCGCTTAATAACGCAGGTACAGTGTTGTGGACATTTGGCTGCCTTTGTATGAATCAGTAACAGGTTAGACTTATTAAATGCAGTGTTTTGTGCTTTCAGGGGGAGGAGGCCGACTGTTTCTACATTGTGGAATCAGGAGAGGTGAAGATAATGATAAAAAGCAAAGTAAGTACAGAGTCCAATGTTATAACTAAAGCTGATAGCTCGTTTTCCCCCATAGGTAGATGTAATATTCCAGTCTGGTAATGTGTGATGTTAATGTACTAAATGGCCGCAGTACTCACAGGTTCTTTGTGTCCGTTACAGACGAAGGCGGGGCAGCAGGATAACACAGAGGTTGAGGTGGCTCGTTGCTCTAGAGGGCAGTACTTTGGAGAGCTGGCACTGGTCACCAACAAACCACGAGCTGCCTCAGTTTATGCTGTGGGAGAAACCAAATGTTTAGGTAAGTTAAAGACACCAGTGGAGTAACGGCACAGTTATTTTAAGATTCCTGCACCTCGTTTTCAGTGAAAGACACTGGCTGGTTGAGTGTAGGAGGGGATTAGACCAACAGAGCAAACACAGTAACTCATAATCTAAAATGTAAAATCTAAATCTACACACAGACAGTTACTGTTTTATCAGGTGCTCCTACAGCCAGCTCATCACACACAAGGTCAAAGGACCAAAACATTCACTTTCAGACATCCTCACGCTGGCCAAACTAGAATATTAGCTCATTTTCTTTGACTTTATTAAATAGCTGACTGTCTATCACACAACAGTGTGATTAATGTGTCTCCAAATTGAAGGAAGAGACAAAAATTCCTAAATGTTTGCACACATTCAAGAAGAGGTCCTATCCAGTATTAGAAAGTCATAAAAATGCAGTTGAAGTTTTGACTACTTTCCCTTTAAACTTCATGTTTAATATCACACTGAACCTCTAAAACAAAGGTTTATATATTGAAACACACCCTCTCTGCTTTGAGTTTGTAGTGGACTCACTAATAATGACCAAAAAAAGCAATTCCTCTAAAATCCAGGCTGCCAGTTACATGACTAAACATTACTCAATGAAAAATTATTTGTGCACCAATTCTTTACCTTTATCCTTTTTTAATAGTCTATCTGTTAGAGGGTAAAAAAAAGCCTACAATGAGATAAAATAATCTTAATTTACCTTCTATTTCTTTCAGTAATTGACATCCAGGCCTTTGAGCGTCTGCTGGGACCCTGTATGGACATCATGAAGAGGAACATTTCCCAGTATGAAGACCAGCTGGTGGCATTGTTTGGCTCCAGCGTAGATTTAAAACACTAGGACATGTAATTTTAAAATAGCGTAGCATTTAAGTCAAATATAGTGACAATGTGTGTAACACATGATTATCTCCCCCCTTTGAAGTGAATGTAACATACAGCCTTCTGTTTTATATTCCTTTTACAGCTCTGCAACAAGTTTCAGATGTTTAGATTGTGAATAGAAAACAATAAATGTTCTTTGTGTGACAATCCAGATAAATAAGTTAGTAAGGTTTGTGCTTGAATATACCTCACTGATAAAAGGTCAGTTTACAGCAGGTGAGCTGACAGTCCAGAGCCAGTATCATACCCAACGTATACTGTACCTTCACATTAGCTGAATTCAAGTCTATAAAGCTTTTCACAGGCTGCTTTTATACAGTTCCTGATTTATAATTTAATGTGTTGTTCCTTTTCTATAAACTGTAAGTGTGACATGGCTTACTGGGGCCATCGTTAAAGTTATTAGTAATACCTGTGCTTTTCTTATTATCTTAAATCTAAAGGAATATCTGATCTATCACTATCATTACATTTTAAGAGCATTTAATATATAAATATTTCATGTAATTCACCAAATAATACAAAGTGATGTACCATTTTCCATTTGTACTATTATATTAACAACCCCTCGTTTACTTAAACCTCTGTTGTAAAGTATGAAATGTGAGTGAAATAACCCATCAACATTCTTGCCAAATAACACAACAAAAAAATAAAGAATTATATCTTAAATATTCAAGTTTTCTGGAGTTTGTTTTTATTTGAGTTACAAAATATGAAGTGCCATCAGCAGACTCCACAGGAGAGTTTGACAACCTTCTTGTGTTACAAGTATTTACACCCAAAAATCAAGGATATCCATCTAAATTTCCACACCCTGCGTTCTGGTATGTCCCAGAGTTCAGGTCTCTGTCAAGTTTTCCAAGTTCCATTGTCAAAGTTTAAATACAGTATTTAAAATATTTACAAAAGTCCTGTATTCAAAAAAACTCCCAAATCATACTGTAGCTTGTTCAATGCAAAGGCAGGTGCCAGAGGTGTAACTGCTTCAGTAGTGTGAGAAAATGAGCAGAGCTGGTGGAATTAAAGAAACTGTTAAACGAACGTGGTCCTCTACAGGGTCTCCATAGTTTTACAAGTTAATTCTTCCTCCTCTAAAGAAAGCCTGGGTGAGGAAGTCTGTACATAATCATTTAAAATTATATGTTGAAATGTCTTTCAAGCCATTGTGGTGCAACAGCTTCTATGATCCTCTCTCATGAAGAAATGAATATGACAATCAATAAAAGACAGATGAAAGAAAAAAGGCCACCCACATAGTTATTCTTGTTCATCAAACATCCTGATTTTTTTCTTCAGAGCATCTCCAAACATTAAAATAAAAACTCCAATAAATAGAAATACAGCAGAGAAATGGTCAAATAAGACTGATTCTGGTTTGGTCCATCCCTGAGTTCTTTTGAGAAGGACAAAAATACCAGAGTGACAAAAAAAAAAAAAAGAAAGAAGCAAAAAGGCGATAGGGTTCATCCTACACATTCCCATTGTGTCCAGGAAAAATCTCATTCCTCTGGTTTCCTGAGGCTCATCAGCAAGAACATCCATCGATGGGACAGTTCCCAGCAGTGAAGGTTACACAGAGGTGATGACAATCATGAGGTGTGGTGAGATGCTGGAGATCCTGTTGAGAAGGTCAGGGGCGAGCTGGGATAAGTGGCTCTCGGAAAATTCGCACGGTGGGAAAATCTGTAGCACATAGGCAGGCTGGAAAAACAGACAAAACGTAAGATTACACATTTGAAGTTACAGAGAACCAACAGATACCAGAGGGGTGTTTCATAACTCAAGATTACCAGTTAAAGCAGGTTATTTCAGTAAGTCTGGTTGATATTTTAACATGGAAACTTATCCCTTCAGACTAGTCTGGCTCTGGTCAGTTTTCAGGTTTAACCAGTGTTCCTCCCTGTGCTCCCTTTTACCACTACACCATAAAAATGAGTGTGTTTAGAGTTCATGTCAAATTTATAGCACAGTCTGACTAACATATACTACTCTTCAGATGCTCCTGTGACGTGTTGTTTTTAATCTTTTACAGTTCTACTGGGACTTTACCAGTGCTAAATTTAAACTGTTATGTTTCCATTAAGATTTGATACGTTTATTTGTGTTAGGGAGTACCCTGCAGCTGCCTGTTAGCTTAACCTATACCTAGCCTAGTCTACCAGTTTAGCCACCACCAATGACAAAACTGAGGCAAACTATGATTTATGATTTTGGACTATATGAATTAAATCTGACTTTATATTTTGCTTTGTGCTACTCTGTGGCTGTGGACATTGCAGTTTTATATTCATGTGTTTTATTCACTCAATCAGGTGCCTGATGACTCATGTCTGTGTTGCAAACTCGTGACATAAACCAGACTTCACATCAGCTCTGAGTTGGCTTTTGAAAGAGCCTCTAGTCCCTCCCGTTTGGTCATGTGCATTGTTTGTGCAATGACCCAGCAAGATAATAGTAATAATAATAGTAAAGTTTTATAAGACTGTTTCAAAGGTCACATATAAATGATATGTATAAAGTTATTAGTTTAAAGAACCTCTTTTCATCAAATCAAATGATCAAACTTTAAAAAGAAAAATCACAAAGAAAAACCCTCACACATTAACAATCATGTCTCACCTGATTGGAACCTGGGTTGGGGATATTGATGATACCAGCAGCCAACTTTGTCTGCAAGTAATTGATGAAAGCGGCCTTAAGAGCTTGAGTTTGGTTTAGAACATCGTCTTGATCTCGTCCACATGGCAGAGCAAGGAGAAGACAGAAATCACTGTCCCCCTGTAGAGGGAAGAAAGGGAAATGTGTATCAGCAGACCGCATTTAGTTAAACAATAACTCTGTTGGTAAAAACAAAAAGACACATACGGTCATTCTTCGGGCTACACTGTCCAGCTGCGAAGCCTCTAGTCTCATTCTCTGGACAATCCTGAGCAATGCCCCTCCTTCTTGTAGGGGCAGTGATCGATGAGCCAAAGCTTTGTTGCCACAGACAAAATGCAACTGGACTGCAGCTGTGTCATTCTTCAGTGCCAGAAGGCCTTGCCACACAATAGGGTATTTCTGTTTAAATATGAGACAAAACAAAGACAAGTATGTCAGACAAAGCAAGTTCTTGTTTAGGCCAACAACCTTGAACACAATTTAAACTGTTGTGATGAGTTGAGTCTTACTGTGAGCAACTGCACCATATTAACTGGCTGCGTCATCTTGCCATCTGGTTTGGTTTGGAGGTCTGCACCCTAAGGATTCGAGAAAATAGTAAGATGTTTCATGAACAGCTTCTGTAATATGAACCTATTGAGCCGCATTTGTATATACACTCAGTTGGCCAGCTTATTATTGTCCCCCATTTATATTAAAGGAAGGTTAGGATTTGACTAAACATTAGAAATACCTCTCAGTATAATGCCAAACAATTAAAGAGCACCACGAACAATAAACACCTCTTAGTTTAACAAAAACACCATTATGACTTTCATGAATGTAGGATTTATTGCAGGACTGTTAGACTACATTATTGTTAGCTAGGTGTACCTAATAAACTGGAGTGTTAAGTGCAGTGAACTCACCATGGTTGGTGTTGCGCTCAGTGGTGGCTGGTTAAGTCCAACAGTAGACATCTCTGGTATTTGAGAATGGACGCCCCTTGGGTTTGAGTACATCCCTGAGTACTCTGGGAATGAGCCACTAGGTCCTGGTGTTATTAGCTGAACTCTCTGGGGAGAGGCCATTGCTTGCCCAGATTGTCGGATCCCCATCATTCCATCTTTAGAAAGAGGAGAGTGTGGCCTCTTTGCCTCCAATGGCTTCGTTATATCTTTCTCAGACACACCTTTAGGCAAAACATGTGCTCTTGGAGACAAGGATAGGGGTAGGTTGGAAGGCGCTGAAGAGGTGGGAAGAGTCTCTTGAATGTGTCCAGAATGAGGATCTGTGGCCAAACGCTCTCCCTGTTGCTGCAAGAGCACACGCATATCTCTTTGTGTCATGTATGTTTGTAACTGGACGTTACTCCCCAGAGGCCCGCGAGGATCTGACTGCATAGACTCTGGTTTTAAAGGTGCGGCAGACTGTCGTCCTGGCGCCTGGTGGAAGCGTCTGGTTTCTTCTTGCTCCCCTTCATGACACCTCAAAGAACCAGGGTTTACCTTGAGAACCTTCTCCCGACCAACAGCCTGGGGTGAGGTGGGTCGTGGCTGCATGGGACCAGACCAGGGAGAGGCCAGAGGCTCACTATGCATCCCATAGCTCATCACAGACTGAGGTGGAGTATTGACTCGTACATCTCCTTGGACAAGATGCCCCACTGGAATTGATTGGGTAACACGGTGAGGCGACATCCGTCCCAAGCCTCCAGGCACACTATGAGGTGGCATAATAACCGACTGTTCTGGGTGATGAACACCAGTAATAAACTGTTGCATGGCAGGAAGGCCAGTGGGTAACATCACAGGTATGCCTTTGGGTGATGAGGAGCCTATGGGTGAGGAAACTTTAGTAAACGGAGAATGTGGGTGACCTGACTTGCGAGGGGAACGTGGTTCCTGTTTCACACTGATATGTGAGGGAGCTCGGTCACCAGCTGCTGTTACAAAACCTACATGGTTGCCAGGTGGGGAGGGCAAATGGGGGCTTATTGCAGGACTTATAGCAGAGGTCCAAGGTGGTTTAGTGCCATCTGTACTGTGAGGATCAGCACTGTCAATTTTCTTTTGATGTTTTATTGGCATGTACTCTTGATGGTAACTCATTACCTGCTGGTTACCCTGTGTGAGACGCTTCACTACTCCTTGAGGTCCAGATTGGTAGGCAGATTCCATCTTTTCCAAAACAGTGCTTTCCTGTTTAATGGAAGACAAAGTCGACTGCATCTTACCAGGATGCCCATGATCTGTCTGCGATGAAGGCCCCTTTTGAAGTCCTGAATGAGAATGACCATACATATCCGGTTTTATCTGGGGCATGGATACCAATTGCTGAGATTCCATGTCACCTGCAGTTGCTTGTGGGATCTGACTTATTTTTGCACTGATCCTCTGTGGTCCCTCTGTTTTCTGGCCTGAGTGGCTCAATACTACCACTCCTTCAGATGTATTTACTCTGAGACCTGGACAAGCTCCTGTACCAAGAGTGGGGCTCTCAACAATGAAGCGGGCAGCGCTGCCCCCCTCATCACCAACAGACTGCCCATGGTATGATCCAGTATCGTCTTTGCTGGGCCTATAGGTCGGTTTGGGTAGAGCCATGTCCACACAGGGATTTACAATGTTCATGTTTAGTTCAGAATCAGGAGGGTTGCAAACACGACTGATGACAGAGGTTCCAGTGGACGCAATAACAGAGATCACAGACTTTGTCTCAGGAGATGGTAGTGAGGTTGGAGGTCGAACAACAGATGGCACTGGATGAGCTGGCATTCTACTATCAGGCAGTGGGGACTTGTTTGGCACAACAGCTGATGGAGTATTACTTTCAGATGGGTTCTGATCTCGCAAGGTGAGCAGATTACTAGGAATAGAACTACTTCCTGGCAGTGACATATTTTTGTGTTTCATAAGAATCTGTCTTAAGTCACTTGTGCCATGATCAATATCCATGTTTTCAGACTCCGAGGGTAAAGGCTGGTTTTCCTTGGATGCCAACGGCATGACAGGTGAAGAGGAGACTCCTGTATCTTTAGACTGGTGGCGCCAATCTGGTGGAGAAACAGGAATTCTAACTGTTTGATGGGTTGGTTGAATGGGTCTCATATTTGGCCTGTTAGCTAGTGGAGACTGGGAAGGGGAAATGCACTCAGGTGGCACCTGTTGAGGCTTCAGGCATATTGGACTCTTAGACTGGGGGTTAATAGATTTAAGATGTTGAATGTGTTCTTCAGAAGATGACTCTGACTCAGCGATTATGTCTGTAGCTATGACAGCTGAAGGCTCAGATTCTGGCTTCCAAGTATTAGAAGTAGGAGTAATGACCGCAGCAGTTGCTGCTGATGGAGTTGTTTCAGGAATAATCTTTACACTGGAAGCTGTGCCATCTGCTGAAGAAGATGTCAATTCCTCACTTACTGAATGTCCTTCCTTTAAATCTTTTCTTACTTGCTTTTGGCCTTTAGAACGTTTAGGTGTTTTAGGTTTTCCCTTGGTACCTTTTTTTGGTGTGGTTGGAAAGACAGCCTCCTCCTGTATCGCAGGTGCAGTGGTTTCAGGTTCACCCTCTTTGGGAGGCTGAATGAAGTCTTGCGCCTCTGATTCTGAACCTGCTTCTACACTTGGTGGAGGAGGTTGGGTTAAGGATGCAGTTGCTTCCTCAGCAGTTATCGAGTCAATAGCAGCTATGAGTTCTGTCTCGCTAGCAGGATTAGAAGGTTTTTCTTCCTCTAGGTCACTTTTTACTTCTGCCGGTGGGACAGGTGGCGTCGTTGGTTCTGCTGGAAAAGCTGGATCTGTAAGTTTAGCAATGTTCTCCACAGCCTGCTCCAATTCAAGCTCCTGTGAAATTAAGCTTTTGGGTGCCTCCAGGAGGTCCTTTTTTTCCAGAGTGGAATTTTCTGTTTCTTCACTGATGGAGCCTCCTCTGTTTGCATTAGTGCATTTCGAAACATGATCACTGTGCTCACCGGGTCTTAACTTTTTTGAAAGATCATCTTGATTCCCAAGCTCATCATCTCCTAACTGAAGAAGATCTTTCACCTCTGTGACATTTAGTCTGATTTTTAGGTTCTTGAGGACAGGAGACTTAGGGGTCCTTGGGAACTTGGCTTTTCCTCTAACAGTCCTGTCTTTTTCCAAGGTTGATTTCTCTTCTAAGACTGGGGAATCTGCGTCTTTCCCATTTGATTTACCCTCACAAGCCTTTTCAAGGACAACATCTTTATCTCTGCCCAATTCTCTTCCTTGTTTGTCTTTCTCCTCTTTCTTTTGGTCAGCTTTTATTGATGGATCTTCTTTACATGAACTTGATGAGTCTTGCAAAGCCAAGGAATCTTCATCTGTGAAGTCCATTTCCTGATCATCATCCTCAGCCAGCTCCGCCTTTTCTCCCTTCCTTGATGATCCATGTCCTAATACTGTGGACATCTGATTTGATGAACTCTTTGTACCATGGGGGGATGTTTTCCCTTTTGACAATCTTGGAAGTCGTTCACCACTTTCTGATTCATTTGAATCTGTATCTTTATTATCCATTTTTGATTTTTCTACTTTAACTGTTGAACTCTCGTCACCTTGTCTACGATTCTTGGGAGGGCGGCCCCTTTTATTTATTATTACAGGGGTTGGAGCAGGTGGGTCCTGTTCAATATTTAGTTGTTGTGTTGCATCTTTGTCTGTACCTCGCTTTCGTGCAGAACGTGGTGACATTTCCTTTGCAGAACGAACTGGTGCATCATCTTCTACTGGGGTGGCATACACAGATTTAACATTTCTTCGTCTTGCTCTGCCTATTGATATGCTCTGCTCGAACATATCAGGATCTGATCCATGACTAGGAGATTTGCTTGTGGACTTGGATTCAGCTCTTGGGGATGATCCACGTTTCAGCTTCTCTTTGTCAATGCGCTCACTCTTGCGTATTGCTTGTTTCTCAGATCCAGGAGTCGACATTACAGGAACCGGGCTAACTTGAGCAGGGGATTGTTTGAACTTTTTATTTTTCATTTCTTTTGTTTTATGCTCCTTCTGTGGCGAAACTGGTTCGTCATTTGTGTCATCATCAATAGGCAGTTGCACTTTACTAACTTGGAGTTTCTTCTCTCCCTCAGGTTCTGCTACTGCTTGACAAGTGAAATGGGTCTCTTTCTTGTCTATATCCACTTCCTCTTCAAGACTAGGTACTATGGGACTAGTGGCTTCAGGCACTTCAGGTTGTGTTGTCTCAGGATCCAGCTCTGCTTCTGAAATGCTAACAAACTCATCCTGAGAATCGCGACGGCATGGTTTTTCTGTAGAGAGAGGTTTTACATCCTCAGTAACAACATCCAATTTCCCTTCAGATGGAGAAAGTTTACATCTATCCACTGAGTAACTGGGTTCGGGTGCTGCTATTGGTGCAGTTTCAGGATCAGACAACGTCTCAGTTGGTGGGTGGTGCACAGGTTCAACAGGTTCATTTTCTTTCACCTGTTCCTTAACCACTTCCTTTATGAAAGACCCAGGGGGAGGAGGGTCAGGGGCTGGATTTAATGCAATACATTTCTCTTCTAATGAAGGAAAGTCCTTGACCACAGATTGGGTAACAGAAGTAGGTGTGAGTCGGGGTTCAGAAATCAACTCTTCAGCAGGACTGACGGGTTTAATTTCTGGTTCCATGATGGAGTCCGTTGTTTCAGGTGACTGCAAAGCTGGTTTCTCTTGATCAGGTGCTTTTTCCACTTTATTCTCATCCGTGAGCAGTGTGTCTCCTTTTACCTCTTCCAGCTGTTGGGTTTTATTTTTCTGTTGTTCTAGTCGCCTGAGTTCCAAAAAACGACTATGAAAAAGGACAACTGGCCCTGAGTCAAGTTCACCTTCTACTGTCCCCTGCTGACCAGGTAGTTGGTTTTGTGTGTGCTCAGGTTCTTCATGTTTGCGTTCCAAGTGTTGAAGTCGTTTAGAGTCCAGCTCAAAGACAGGGCTGTGAAGGAAGCGGGAGGCAAATAGTTCCCTGCGTTCATGTTCCTCTGGCTTAGGCTCCTCCTTCCTGTCATCAAGTTTATCTTCAGATCCACTTCGTATCTTTTTCTTTTTCATGTACCAGGAGGGTGTAGGTCGTGGTGCTGATTCTACCTTCTCAGTATCCTTTCTGTTGCGAAAACTTGCAAAATGCGAATCATAATCTAAAAACGACCAATTATCTTCTCTGGAAGATGAGAGAGATTTTGCACGTTCGAGCAGAGCCTTTGTATCAGGTGTGATGGTCTGGTCAAGTGCAAAGGAGTAGAATTTGTTCCTTTCAAGATGTGCTAATTTGGGGTCTGAAAACCTGTCAACCCTTGGCCTCTCGGGAAAAGGCATAGATGTTGAAGGAACAGGAGAGTGGGGTTTGGTCTCTCTGTCCTCCTCAGGGTCAGATCGTACTTCCCCAGGCTCCAAGTCATGCCAAATACCATATTCCAAACGCTTGTGAATGTTCTTACTAAGACTTCTAGAAAAGTTCAGGTCAGGCAACAAGTCTTGTTTAACTCTGCTCTCCCATCTCTTTTGTTGCTCTTCTTCCACACTAAGTATAGGAGTGTTTGGCTTGTTTACCTGTGTGTTATGCGTCCTTTTGACTAATAGCTCCAGATCTGGGTGAATTTTCTCCTCATTTCTGCTTAACTCTTTCTGGGAATGATCCACAAAGTCTGCATCTGCAAGGTGAGAGAAGTGCTGATGTCCTGGAGAGGAAGTGTTGTTCCAGTCAGGCTCTTCACTTTTTTGCCTGAAGCTCCGGTAAACACGCTCCCTTTTAATCACAGAGTCAGTGTCAAACTGGTCTAGTTTCTTTAGTTTGTGAGATGGGAAATTATCTGTGACATCCTCTGGTGGTTTGCCAACCTCATGCACAAGACTGCGATGTTCCAAGTCCTCTGTTTCACTTCCTTGGGGACTTCCTGGTTTGTCAGGTTTGTCAGACTCGCGCTGCTGTTGCTGCTGGTGAAGCCGTCTATTTTGCTCCATTTGCTTGCGGTAACTCTGAGAGAGGTCAATGTCAACATGGTCTTCCTTGGTCTTAGCACTTTTGTCAGTGTCCGCACTCTGAGTACCAAATTTGAAAGCAGGAAGGTGTTCATGTTCTCTTATACTGCTTTGTTCTGTAGGCCCCTCATGTGAAAACCTTCTGGATGAAGCATGCCCTGGATGTCGTTTTGACTCCAGTGGGTCCAAAGATCCCTCTGATTTCTCTCTTTGTCCTCTAAGGTCCTCTTGACCATCCTTCTGAGCGCCGCTCTTATCAGTTTTGAGTCTTGAATCTCTCCGTTGTGAATCTTTTTGTTTGTCAGTGTCTGACTCTTTCAAATATGTGGCACTAGCACTTAAGTCAGAGGTTGGAATACCATCCTCCCCCTCATGCCTGCTTCTTTTTTGACGAATAGTCCTTCCACTGGAATCAGCAAAACGCCTTTTTCTTGCAGCAAGGCGATCTGAATCCACTGATGAATCTTTCCCGTCATTTCCAATGTCAGACTTCAGATGTTTCTTCGGTCGACTTTTTCCTTCCATGTCTGAATTCTCACCTTTACTCATTTCAGATCTTTCACTTTTTACAGGGTCATGATGAGCGGTTGACAACTGGTTTCCTGCAAGAGAGTCACCATCTACCTTACATTTCTGCCTCTCATGAGCATCTTGGTCTGATCCCCGTCCTCTTCCAGACCCTCCATCAAAACCTGTCTCAAGCTCTGCTTCAGGTAGTGGGTTGGATGGGGATTGTCCCTTTGCTTTCCTAGATTTAATCTTATCAGCTTTGTCTTTGTCACCTTTCTCTTTTCGTTTTGCACGTTTGGTTTTCTCAGCACCTGCCACACGATCTGGTTGACTGCTCTTCTCACTCTTGTCACTCTTTGAAGCATGTTCCGGCAGGGTCTTCTCAGATTTGTCAAAGTGTGGTGGTGACATTGAGCTCACACTACCACTTCGCTCAGAGGACTGGCTGTAAACCCGTCGTTCTGAGTCTCTGGGAGCACGCTCAGATGGTGAAGGTGATACTGTAGGAGTAACAGGTCGCCTTGGATGGGAAGGGCTCCATCTGCTGCGGTCAGCCTCAAAACGTTCTCGCTCTCTTTCTCGCTCCCTTTGAATATATGTGTATTTTCGGATGTCTTGCTCAAAGGGGTCTCTGTAGTCCCTGTACTCTCTTGGGTCTTCATGATAACGTGGGTCAAAGTGATCCCCCTGATAGTGTTCCAGTTCAGGAAAACGTTCTCTGCTGCGAGCAGCATAGTCTCTTCGAGCATCCTCTGGATAGAGACCAGGGGTTCGTATATTCTCATAGTAAGCCCTTTCTGCTGTAAATTCATGGTATGGAGGTCTGCGCTCCTCTCTGTGGAGTGAATGGAGAGAATAGGAAGAGAAAATTAACAAATTTTGTTAATCCACAAAAATCCTTGCAGTGTTACTTTCACATTAGTGCTCACATAATTTGCAGGGGAACTGTGATGGTTATCACCTTACAACAGACGGATTTTATCAGGGTTAACTTCATTTGAAAGAATTGCTCAACATAGGAATCTTCTAAATTCAATATTCAATTAATTGACAAATCTGTGACACTTTAATAAATATATATGGTTGTGGACATTATCAAATGTATGCAATTAGGATATGGGATATTTACCGTCGTTCAGGGGGGATTTCATAGAAGTCTCTTTCTTGACCAGATGCCTGCATTGATCGGTAGAATGCCATCTGACTCTCTTGACTTGCAAAATCCACCTTTCATGAATAAATAAATATATTGTTAAAACACAAAAGTATACATATTACATACACACATGAAAAATGCTTTTCACTAATCAACCCAATAACAACTTGTTTACCTTTATTTTATTGCCACCAATCTTCCAACCTTTGGTCTCCCTTACAGCAGCCTGAGCAAAATCTGTGTTGTTGTACAAGACGAGGGCCATGCCCTTCAATCTATCAAACACAACCTAAAAAAAAGGGACCAAGGGATATATTTACTACAACTACAAAGCATTAAAATGAAATCTGCAATACTTCACTGAGATAAAATATAACACCTTACCTTAACTACATGGCCATAGCGGCAGAAATGCCGTGTGAGGTATTGTTCTGTAATACTGGTTGCCAATCCATCTAGCCACACACACGTTGTGGGCATACTTTTCCCAAACCCAAGCTTCAAGGAGAAATACGACATGCATATTATAAACACAGAATACACTAGAAAACAGAGCAGAATGTTACTATTGTTTACAGTAAAACCCCTACTTTTAGTCTGTTGCTCCCCAGATACTCTCCATCCATCTTCTTAATGGCCTTGCAGACACTGGCAATATCAGAGTACTGCACAAAGGCATACTGGGGAACTCCATTTACTTTCTTGATGTCAATGTCCTTGAGGAGAAAAGACAGTACAATTAGGGACCATTATCAAATGTAAAATGTACCAATTTACAGTACAGTCAAATATTAGCATACCACAATTTCTCCAAAGCGCTGAAAAATGTCAAGAAGTTGTTGGTAACTGGTGGTCTTCTCAAGATTGCCTATAAACAGTGTCCGTGTGGCCTTTGGGTGAAACTCATCTATTCGCCCATCCAATGGCCGGAACTCATTTTCACTCTCTGTTTCTGAGGAAAAGGAGAGGTTTATCATTAATATACATTTTTTCCACCAACACAAAAACATAGAAATAAGCAAAAAAAAAAATTTTCAATTCACAATATTGATGTTGTAGATTTGTCTTCACTTACCAGGACCATTCCAGGCAGTGACTTCAATAAGCATGCCAAAGAACAGCTTTCCTTTGGACACAGTGAGGGCTTTCTCTTGATCCTCTTGCTGTCTAAAGAACACCAACCCATAGCGGTCTTCTGATGCTCCATGGATCTGCACTGAGGTCACTTTGCCATGTTTCTTGAATTCATGGAAAAGTCCATCTTTTAAACTTGTGTCTGTGGAGAGAATAAACAAAACATGTCCACCTTCAAAAAGAGTACTGAACACAACTGATTTTCAAAGTGACCTGTATACCAGTGGTCTCACATCCAAATTAATGGTTACCAACAACCAAGTAACAGTAAAACTTGAGTGAATATAATGAAGCCACCAAGAAGACAAAATTAAGTTGAAGACAGAAAAAAAAAAACATTATAAAAAGAATTATAAAAATGTTATCTCACATTTTGCACCTTTATTGCATACTTTTAAAACCAATACCAAACATGAAATAAGATTGAAAAGGTTGAAAAAGAGTGAGGAAATACACTTCTAATAGTGTATATACTAATTATTCTTGGCAGGTACAATTCACCAATTCTTGGTATGTAAATAAAAGTCAAAAAGACAACTCGGGACAATGTTAAACTGTATACACAGCTATCACTTTATATGAACACTATTACTGTGAATAATCTGCATTAGAAATGACAACTGTAGTCCAGGCGATGAATCCATCTCTAATTTTAGACAATGCCCTCTGGCAACTATTAAGACCATCTTTAAGAGGCTGACTTAAAACTTGTAAGCCATGTAGAAACTCACCTGTTGAGCGCACTGGTAAGTTTTGCACTTTAATTCCAAAGCTTCGGCGTGGCTCCTCTGAGTCAAGCACCATAGAAGACTGAGTAGGTGCGTGTGTAGCTGACGACTGAACAGAGCGTGCCCGAGACCCATCACTTGAGCTGCTGTTTGAGTCGCTGTTCTCACACACAAAAAAAATAAAAAATAAAAATATGATTAGACATTTGTCAGCTGAGTCAAAGTATTTGCTAATAGCACTTACTAACTGACTGTGCACTGACAAAATGTATCCATCCAGTCAGCAAACCCATGAATGAAGCGTTAATATTATAACAAAACAAATGTCACACCTGCCGCTGCCCGTGCTGCTGGTGCTGCTGACAGAATCAGAGCTTGAAGATCTGCTGCGGGATCGAGATCGTGGGCCTCTCCCAGGGGACAAAGGAGCTCTTTTTGGGGAATGAGGAGTTTTGGGGGTTTGTCCTGTGGTCCGTTGTGGGGAAGGGTGCCTTGACTGTGAGGAATGAGATGATCGGCTCCGACGGTGATGGTAGGTTCTATCAACACGCCGTCCTCTGTCATCTCTGTATAGGTCACGTCGTGTAGAATTAGTAAGAGTGAAAGGGTCTCGAATTCTAGAGTCAAAATGTGGGTCAGATGCCTCAAAGCTTCCCCCAATAGCGCTGCTCCCTGGGCCAGCAGCAGCAAACATAGAACGATCTCTGTAATAATCTGCGTTGTAGTGACGCTGTCTGTCAAAAGTGCCACTGCGGTCATGGTGTCCATATGGGCTGTGATCATATGCACGTTCACGGCTTTCTGAGCTACTGTGAAATAAGAACAGGGTAGAGAGGGAGAAACAGTTACTATGATTCTAAACCAAAAGGGCAAAAACACTTTACTGTTATATCTATTTTGGCATCTAAATTCAAAATAGTGAAAATCCAAATGGCCCGTACAGCAAAGACACAGCTGAGAGCAGGCCAGATAAGATGTGGGGTAAATTTCAGTAGCTTAATAGTGGTATAAAGAGCAGTGCCAGTATTTTTAATGTAGCGATCCACCAAAAAAACACTGGTCTCTTCTTTGAGGTTCCAGTTGGTCAATTAAGAAGTGCTGACTCCAACATATGTTAAAGAACTGATTTTTAACTTTTCAGCAACAAGTTTCCCAACATTATATTTTCATTCTAACGTGCTATTTGGGAGTTTGAAAGGTTTTAAGCACAAGAGAAGCATGTTAACAATGCTTAGGAAAACTAACTCACAAATTCTTAGAAAAAATAAGGACTTGAGAAGTGCTACATAGAAAAACAGTTCTGAGAACAATGAAATTACTCCATTAGCACCTGTGCTAACGCTGTGGTGTGTGTGTGTGTGTGAGAAACCTGTTTGTTTGTGTGAGGGGAGTGGTGTTGTGCTTGTTTGTGTGTGAAGTGAATTGGTCACGCATCACCATTGTAAAAATCATGTCCCCAGCTGCATAGAATCCATACATTCAACACCAATTCCCACAATTGCTAGGAAACGGCCATCATATTGGTACAGGGAAGCCTCCTAATGCATGTAAGACTATCAAGACAGGAGGTCTATCCACAATTCAAATCAACGTTAACTTGCTCTAGGTAATTAGTTTCTATGTATATTATTTTCTCTTGCTGGTGGTAAACTTGCTGCCATGATATAACTGTGTATAATTTTGAAGATAAATGACTACAAGTTACAACGAACACTAAACTTAAAAGATTAGGTAAATTTCTGGAAGGCTTCACAATTGCATTTTTAAATTACATTTACAGTGAAATATTAACATTTAGCTAATTTACATTTTAACTCATACATTATGTAGAATATATATATATATCCTGTATATCAGCAGGGCTATGCAGAGTTTCAGCGTATCAGTCTGATAAACCACTCTTACGGTTTAGTATAACTTAAGATTTATTCAAGAGAGATGAACAATACAAATTTTGTTCGACTCCCATATAAATGTATAAAAAGATTGATTTGTAAATATTCTCAGCATCTTACTGATATATAACTTTAATAAAATGTAATTGTCCCTGCAACTTACCATTATGGACAGATAAGGAAAATGTTTGAAAACATTTTTTGGAATGCTGCCTATTTGAGTGATAAACTGCACTATTTGTGGTTACTTTTAGCAATGTAACAGACATTTTCTTGCCTGTGGTTAAAAAAAAATAAATAAATAAAAAAAAAAAAACTCAACCTCAGTAGCACCAGTGCTATGTGCAAAAAAAGTACACCCATGCAAAAAAGCCAAATAATTTGACTCTTCAACACATAATAGGGTCAAATGCTGGCACTGTCTTTAAATACTAATATGGACGACTTTTGTGGCGCTGCTCCAAACTCTAAACTGTCAGTGGCCTAAAATTACATTTCATTTTCTGAGAGCAACAAAACTACTAACAAGCACAATTTTCTATACTGTAAATTCATAAACAGTCACATGAAACAAAGCCGCCCCAGACTCTGATAGTCGCTACAACCTTCTTCGTTTAATTTTGTAGATCTAGTCATACAAACACATAATTCAGCAACGTTTAAATGTTGTTCTTGAGTGTCTTTCAATAACTTTCATTTGCAAAAGCACTGAGCACTTTTGGCTGCTCTGGGTGTCCAGGGGAGCTGATTTCAGAGGCTGACTGTTCATGAACTATTGCTGGCCAGAAAAAGAAAATATTAAAATAAAATATTTCTCTTAAATATTCAAGAGGACAAGTCTCCTATCGAGGAGCTCCTTGGTACAGAAATTTAAAATGCCATGCAGACTTCAGATCAATGTATTTAATGTGAAACAATACTTTCTAGTACTTATGTGATGCTGAAAAAAGAGGCTCTTACATAAAGAAATGACAATACATATATAATTTATATATGCATTTCATAAAATATACATTTTTCCTCTCATCAAATTTATCTTTTCCTTAAAAGCAGTGCAAAACCTAATATTAGACAAAGCACTAAGGAAGGTTAGAGAAAGAAAATATGCAGAGGGCAGAGCAATACCAACCTTTTGGAAAAGAAGTTACCGAAACTAATCCAAATAAAATCTAGGTGGTCAGAATGTGAGAGCCCGAATGAAAAACCAAGGGGAAAAATCAATTGATCTAATTAGGCAAAAACGGTTCTCTTGAATCGCACTGCACGTTATCTTCAAATACTGTGGAGCACCAGGCCAGTAGATTGTTGATGTATAATCCACAGTTAGGCTACTTATTTCTCTTCACTGGATGGAAAAAGGGAAAAAAAAAAACAATCACAGAAATGGACCTCTTTATGGATTTCAGGACATGGGTTTAAAAAAAACTATAGGAACATAAGACCTTAATAAATAAATATGGATTTTAAAAAAAAGATGATGAACTTCAGGGTATTTCAGCGCATTCCAGGTTGACTATACAAGTTAGTTGGTGCCCGAATGGAAAATACATCCAGCTGGATCAGTCTTGTCTTGTCGTATGAGGAAGTAGTAGGTTCCAAAAGTTAGACTTTACATAAGTAAAAAAACTAAGTAAAAAATGTATTCCACTGGTGAATATCAAGTAGTTTAACATCAAACAAGCTTGTAGACTTGCAGACACTATGATCACAGCACATTAAATCCTCATGGGTTCGTAGGCACGACATAATTCCACAATCCATGGATCTTCTGAGGCGCTCGTACTGGAAGGCTTCATCTTTTTGTAGCAACATTTCAAGTTACTTTGATAAAGGTTGTCTTCAGCTCTCTGTAACATACTTCTTCTCCTCACTGAGACCTCACGCAGCTACATCCACACTCGAGTAATCCAAATGAATGGCAGCTACACCTATCCATACTAGGGTCCACATCAGTACATCCAACACGGGGAACCGGTATTGCATAAATCCTGGAGGGTACATCCCAACTATGCGGTCTTCATGTGTCTTCTTGGCCATCAATCCAAAACAAGAAAAGCTCCACAAACATTGGTGGTGGGTTGGTTGGATCCTCAGTGTTCTTGCAAAGTCTTCTTGGAATAGCTTCCATATTTGGGACAAAGCGTGTTTAGTGTATACATATATGGTTAATCTCCTAAAATGACTGAGATAGCCTAGGACATATGCACTACATTGGTCTTTCTTGTGTAACGTTAACAAGTTCTTCCATCCGCTTGTTCAAAACTTTAATCCAGAACAGGACGTATCCACAGGTGCAAAAAATGGTAAAAGTAGTCCAACCATCAGCTGTTGCCAAGAGGAAAAAGCAATTGACAACCCGAGATGGGAAATCCTTGAAGTGATGTGTTGCCTGAATAGATTTTTCAAAAGTACATCCTTCATAATAGGGACTTACTTCCTTGATAGTAGGACTTTACTTCCAGTTTCAAGCGATTCCAACTAAAAATCACGGTTAGATCCCATATTTAGGCGGAAAATGTTTTTAAAATATCCAAAAGCTCCCCCAGGTAGTTTCCCACAAAATGTAATAAATCCAAAACTCACCAGGATATTCCTCACAGATGTAATATCCAAACCAGATGTCAAACCTTGAATTATAGATACCTTACCAAATGATAATGTGTACTTTAATTACTTAGATCCCGTGCGAAAAGCGAGTCAGTTATGATGAAAAGTGGAACGATCCCTAATTACCTTTGTGTAACCCCCTTGAGGCACATATCCCTCACGAGTAACCCCACTATGTGTTTAGGTTTTACACCTATCCAATACCTAGATTCCCCTGGATTTTAAGGGGAGGCCGTGTCCACTTACCCATCTATTCTCCGTTCATAACGTCCCTCTCTGGTGTGAAGGGACACAGATGGACCAAACACTGGACCAACTGTTCCCCTAGAGAATCCTGTAACGTCTCGACTGCTCGAGGGGGAGCCGTCTTCAAGGCCCCGAACAGCACTAGGCACTGACCCGGGTTCATTGTAGTCAGTTCGAAGGTCCCTGTCTCCCATCTTGTTGACAGCATTGTGAGCCTTCTGCGCACTTTTGATATCCACAAAATCCACAAAGGCTGCAACACCACCCTCTGACCCTCGCTTTCGAAGAACTTTAACACTTTCCACACGGCCATACCTGAGGGGAAATTACAATGAAAACAAAGAGGAAATTACATATACACCAGCTAAGAATAGGTCAAGTGCAGCTGTCTCTCTGTGTGCCAGAGCCAGGTAAATAAAGAACAGAAGAGACACTATAATCAGACAGAAATTATTTGCTTTCAATTATGAACCATAGCAAGTTTCCACAAATGTGTCCTTTTAAGCCACCATACAGAAATAAACTAAACGTAAAGAAGTGTCTTAAACAGCGTCTGCAAACATGATTACACTTGGTTTTTAACAAATATTGTTGGAAGTGTTTTGAGGTTTCTAGACAACTTCAAATTCCTAATGTTATTCAAACAACACTGTGGGACCTAACACATAACAAATGTCGGTGTTTAACAACCAAAAAGAAACACACAGCTGTCACCACGGTACCGCAGCAGCTCCCATTAACTGAGGCTGTTTGTTGTGTTGATGAGATACTCGAGTGGCCTTAACTCACGTAGCAAACAACAGAGACATAACACGGGAAAAGCGTACAAGTTTTAAGATGTTAGCTGTCTTGATTACTACCGGGAGCAAAACCTGGTTTGCAGTTTACATGTAACGTGGCCACATTAGAAAGCCAAACCGAGTATCTCCGCCGAGTTTAAGTAAGTTATAGCGGTGGCTGCAGTTACCGACGTCAAGCAGCTCAAAAACTTGCTAACATTTGAGTATCAGTCACTGATCGGCCGCACATTTCGGCTTCTCTACATTTCAATATTTTAATACCGTCGCTCACTGTTGACCAGATAAATAACAATATGTGTCAGAAGTCTCCGGTGGCTACAATAACACAAGTCTTCTAATGTTATTTGACCTGCTGCCCAGCTAGCGTTAGCTGCCTTTAGGCTTGTACTGATTATGAAAACGTCTTGACTTCCCACAAAATGGTTGGTTGGGTGGTAGTTAGCTCGGTGGCTAGCAGACCTAGCTCCCTGCCTCCTGGCATCAGCAAAAGTTAGCAAAATATTTTAAACCGTAAACATTTACACGTGAGTGGTTGCTATCCCGACATTTCGCTTCAACAAACATCGCTGTGCTGCAATATAACACACGCAGCACACATGAAAGCCACGGACTTGTAAAACTTGTAAAATGCTAACGTTAGCCGCATTAGCATCAGTCGCAGGCTACCGAGCGCGACCAGCTAACGTTACTGCGCCTAGCGCGCGCTGCTCCGCCAGCCGAGGGTCCCTCTTGCGTAACCTACCGTTTAAAATGCTCCACGATTTTCTCCTCTCGGACATGTTCGGGTAAATTTCCCACCCAGAGGTGTCTGGTTTCCCGAACCATCTTGCGCTAATCTTTCCCCCTTCACACACATATATGATCTCCACGTTTCTAATCCCCGCCGGTCGTCGGAGCTCCGCCTGAACAAAATGAACGACGGTGGACTCCGTGAATAATCTGGGCCTGGTAGCCTGATGTCCGTTTAGCTTTAGCTGCTGCGTCCTCGATCCGTGAACGTGGACGCGCCCGAGCCTCGCTCCTGGTGATTTTGGGCGCGAGCTGCGCGCCCCCGAGCTCGGTGTGCCGCGCGTGGTCGACGGGAACAAACAGCGAGCGCGCGATTTCTTCAAGAGAGGATCGACCGCGAGCGACTGTTGTGTGGTGGGAAAACCATCCCGGGATCATCTTCAAGTGCTGATGAACTATCTGATAGAAAGTTGGGAATGTTCCTTTAAAGTTAAATGTTTAATATGAATTTATTTGGACTCTCGTTGTAAAATAAATCATCACAGGGGCGTTTCCGGAGGTTAGTGACGGGAGTTGCACTAGTGGAGCACTGACTCATTCAGGGGCAACATGAAGTAGGTGTCTCACCTTTACAGTTATTCCCAATTTATACAATTCCAATACTGTTTATGGATCCCAGTATGCAGAAATATTAAAGTGCACTACCAGAAAATACCACCAATTTCTACCACATGCAGACACTGAAGTGTGTCTGAGACTTGTAGGTATCCATAGAGCCCATTTTCATTGTGATGTCTTAAGGTCAAGGGATTCCTTTGAAACTTTGCCAGTTTTTCCATCACCAAAATGTAGCCTCCCTTTGGAGCGTTATTTACTTCCCGGTAGGACTGCTAACAGGACATGTTGGTACCAATGAATGAGTTAGTTTCATATAATGCCGGTGAATAAAATGGAGACCGCTACAGCCTCTGAAAGACAGTGTGTAGAGGCAGAAGTAAGGATAATGGGATGGTTTTTTAAAGTATTGTTTGAGCACAGAAACAAAATATACGGCTGCAACTAAATTTAATCTTTAGATCGAAATTAAACTGAGTATATGTTAAGTCTGAATTTAGTTCGTAAGAGAAGAAAGCAGCAAATCACTGCGGCACACAGATCCACTGAGTAGGTGTCACATTTATGTCCACGTCAGTCAGAGTTTGTGCCCATCAGGTGTTTTCTTAGACAAAGTTACAGTCACAAACACCTTCTTACAGCAGGTTATTGCTCTGTACAAACACTGTGCACTGATACTGGTGAATATTGTGAATATACCAGACCAAGTAAGGCCATGGCAGAAAGAGCCTGAGTGTATTGAATGAGCAAAGATGTGTTTTTATTTAGTATGAATTCAACTTTTCATATCTTTCAAAATGTTCAATAGTCTCACTTTACAGAATAGACAGAAGATAATACAAACCACTGATGTAATATTGAGCCTAAACCTCGTAAAACAGAAGAAAGTTTGGTGAATAAAAACAGAAATGATGAATTTACTTTTTCCAGAAAAATGTTTTAATAAATGTTTCTGATACACAGAAATATAAACATGTCATTTAGAGATAGAGAACATAAATAACAACATAATTCACCTGGGATCTGAATGAGACTTTAATATTGTAATGTCAAATCAATGTGAACAGACCCTGTGAGGATCTTTATGTGGGAAAAAGTTTGGATTGACTCACATTTACATCTAAAGCACCTTCAAGTTTTGGTCCATAATGATTTAAGATGTGTTATAGTGCTCGGTTACACATTATTTTATAAAGGCTCTAATGTATTCAGTTCTGGTGTTTACTTATTGTCCTGCCAGTATGATCAAAAACTGTTCTTGGACCGACACAAATGTGTTTTAAAATTTTTATATTCAGGCCGTTTAATACAATTCTGAATTAAATTGTCTTTTTTCTCATGTTTGACTACTTATTGATTGTATTTGTAATGTAACACATCTTATGTATGTTGGAGCCTGCCTCGAGATAAAATATATTACTTCACTTTTATATAAATGTTTTTTTATATAGAGTTTTATTTTTTTATATAAAGGATTAATGTGATTGAGAAACAGAATACTGGTTGAGATAAAAACTCAAATAATGTTCGCCGTACATTGTTATTTTTTCTGCAAAGTCTGTGGCATAAATATATTTGGTGCATTTTTGTAGAGTTTATTGAGTGCAAAATTATCAAGTATAAAAGAAGAATAGGAGGATCTTCAGAAAGCATGATATACTGTAAAAAATATTTCATTATTGTTCTATTGGAAGAAAAATAAAGATGTGTGACATTAGTGTTCCAGAGTCTTAAATGCACATGCAAAGTCTCCCACTTCTCTGAAGCTGGAGTCGTGTCACTTTTCCCTCAGTTGCAGTTGATCCCGGGGCGGTAACGCCAGTGTTAGTGCTGACCAGAAACCAGACTCAGGTGGCAAGATTTGCAAAGCATCTTCCCGTCCAAAGGGTAGCAGCCGTGCTCATTTGGTTCAGGAGAGAGCTGGATGACGCAGACCTGCACACAATGGGACATACTTATCGACTGGTGGTGATTAATGTGTGTTTGTGTGTCTGTCAGTGTGTCTGCTTGCAGGACGCCTACCTCACATCTGTAGCAGTTCTCGTGGTAAGAGCGTCCGAGGCATTCAACGTTGTAGCTGTCGGTACCATCTTCCTTTGGAATGATTAGTTTTTTGCAGGCGTTACACTTGGGAGCGTACTTCCTTTATAGGCGACATTGCAGAGGAAAGGAAATAGGTAACTTTATTTGTGTAGCACCTTTCAAACATGTGTTGGGATTTAAACTGCTTTACACAACTCAAAGACATACATTATCATTACATTTAAAAGGACAATAAGAAATCAGTTATGATCTCTACTCTTGGTGGACTGTGTAAAGCACTGGTTCCCAACTCCTTTTCTATCATTGAGTGAATTTAAGACCCCTGATTAAGTTACATATTTTTATAGATATTTCATACTATGTTAAAGTACAGAAATAACCGATAAACTATAAAATTAACCCAAATACTGAACACACCTTTCTATACAATTCTCTGCCTGTATGTATTTTTTGTATTTCTAACCATACTTAAGTTTTTTTACTCTCATTGTTCTATTAACTCTGGTTGTTTTAATTGGGTTTCTAATGTTGTGTTTAGCAGAGAGTGAGGCTCTGTGACTATAGCTTGTGTTCAGGTCTTCACTGTTCCCCATGTCCTGTGAGATTTTCTATCTTAAATAATAATCTAAGTGTAAGAAATTACAATTTCTTCAGTTTTATACACAGATATTAATGAAAATGGGGACATATAAGGTCTGGACCCCCAGGTTTGGAACCAGTAGTGTAAAGGATGTTTTTCTCACAATGCTTGTCATCATTGTTAAGTCTCATACCTGTAATAGTCCTGGAGGCAATAAACCTCTCCAACTTCTCCCTGAGCAAAAGCTTGCTCTCCAATTTGCTGTTTACATGTTGCGCAGGTAAAACAGGAAAGATGGTATGCGCGCTCCAGTGCGCGGATCACATGATCTGTGATAGCCTCCCCACAGGCCCAGCAGAGTTCCAGACTGGCCTAAGAGCCAGAAATATGTGGTTAATGGTACATTTCTGTATTAAAACAGTTTAATCCATTTACTACCAACCATGTAGATCTTGTACGTATGATTGCTGACCATTTTCCAAAACGTAGCGTTTACATTTTTAATGTTTAATAGTATTTCTTCCACTTTCCAAGCAGCCACTGACTTCTATTTGTTGCAGAGACCTGAAACTTGGTTGAGATTGGTAATCCATCACAATGACCATCAATACCACCTTTATTTTTATATTACAGTCAGAAATTAATTCAATCCCCCGTTCCAACGACAAGTTGATTTTCATGCAGTAGTAAAAGTAACAAACTAGGAGCTACCTGGAAGGTATATGTAAAACATTACAGCAGTCTTTGGTCAGTGAATAGTTGTCATCAATGTAAAGCATGATTAGAAGAAAACGAGCATGCAAAAACATTGGTATGGCATTTGTATTTGCAGCTTGGGTGAGATCCTGTAGTAGAGGCTGTATTGACTTTACCTGGTAGCAGTCTTCACAGAGCGGGATCCCTGCCTTGTTGTAATACTGTTTACCAGCCAGGGGAATGTGACAAGATCTACACTGGAAGCAACCGTCATGGTACGTCCTGTTTAAGGCCTCTATTGCAGGTTCAGAAAGAGCCACGGGTTTCCGACAGAAGCCACACACCTCTGCGTAGTACACCAACAATCAATGTCAATGCAGGTTATCATAATATGCGTATTGTCAGAGTGGAAGTGGTGAATGTGTAAATAGAGATCATGTTACCTTTACTCTCCCTGCTCGTGTCTTGGCCATTTTTATGGATCCCGTGGGATTGTTCATCTTGTTTGAATCCACTAGATGGTGTGCTTGTTTCCACCTTAAATTTAAAGCACATTATTAATGTAAAACTTAACTTTAAACGGTTGTGTTTGATGCTAGAAGGATAAAGGGAGAAGAGTGGCTTTAAATGTTACAGGCTGAAACACAAGAGTCAACCAAACAAAAAATGTTGACTTGCTCCAAATATCTTACTATACATATCAATATATAAACATATAATATCCTTCTACTGCTTTTAATTAAACTTAAAAAAAAAAGTAATAATTTCCAAGACTGAAGCAGAGTCATGTCAGTCTTTACATTCTGTGTATTCAACATCACAGTTAAAAATACAGGAAGAGTTAACCTCTCAAAGCCCTAAATCTGTAACATTTTCCCAAATTGGAAAGAAAAGTGTAAAATATAGAGGTGACTGTTAAGGAAATACATAACTAAAAAGTTTGGGGTATGCAAATAATCTACATTAAATCCTTTATCCAACACTGGATAGGTTGCACAGGTACACACTGTAGAATAAGACTGGTGCAATAAAGAGAAAGTCTGACTATTATCAGAACCTGCTGCTGTAACTCAGCCTCAACCTTCCTGATCTGCACTTTCATTGTTTCTGCACAGAAATGGGAAAACGTTCTTATATTTGTTTGTGTGCTCTGTTTTTTAAGGAAAATGTGTATAGTTCCTGAAGTGTTTTTCATCATTTAGCTATATCTAAAAGACAGCTGTTTTTTGTTCATAATGTGTTTTGCAGATGATTCAACCACTGCACAACATAATACAGAATCTGTAAAAGTTGTGGAAACTTGTAATACTTCACTGTGGGAAAAAATGACTTCTCTGCTTCAAGCTAAATTTATAGAGGAAAACTGGGATCAAGTGTTCGATAACAGTAAATGAGAGATTTTTAGCTACATTGTGAGAGAAGTCTGCATACCTCTCTGTTGTAAACTGGCTGCTGGCCTGGGGTCAGAGGGCAAGAGGGAAGTGTCTGGGCAGGAGGAGGTGGTGGAAGTGCTGATTCTTCAGAGAGCGATGTTCCCAGAGATGAAGGCAGTCCAGCAGCAGCAGCAGGAGGAGGAGGAGGAGGAGGAGGTGGAGGGAAGAGCTCTGTTTGGTAAGAAAAAGACTTATTTCAAGTCACTTTTTATTTAGGTTTCTAATAAATACTGATATTAGACACATACGATTAATGTTAAACACACCAAAAAATATATATAACCCACCTGCCACCCCCCAAAAATAAATTTAAAAAAAGAATAATAGTTTATTATAATAATAATAATAATAATAATAATAATAATAATAATTAATAATAATGATTTAAGAAATGAATAAAATAAGGGGAAATAAGGGTTGTGTTTTTGTTCTGTTCTGCATGTTCCTAAAAAGGTGTGATGTGATTAAATGAGTGTAAAAGGAGTGACTCAACAAGTGACTCAAAAACAAACTTATAAAACCAAGTTATGGAAGGACAGGCCCAACACAGGTCAACCAGTCCCTAGTGGCATCAGTTACATGTAGTTAGAATATAGTTCAGGTACGTAAGTGTTGTCCATTGCACTATTTTGCATTGAATCCTAGATAATAAAAAAAAATAGATTGTGTCATGAATACCTGCAGCACATCTGTCTTGTTCTTGCAGCTGTCCTCTGCTGGTTCCAGGTTGGGCAGGTTTTGGGCTCTGAGGGTCTGAAGCTGGGGCTGAGGCCCCCCCATGAGCCCAGCCTTTGCTGTCTACACTGCCGTAAGACTCAGGCTGTGAGTGGTCCTCTTTCTTATGTCTTAGGGCAGGGGTGTTGTCACTTGGGCTGATTCGTGCAGCAGCATGCTGCTTGTCTCTAGCCGGGGTACTGTGGGCTTGGAGAGCAGGCTGCTGCTGTGTGACAGTGGCTCGGTGAGGAGACGCCAGAGTGATGAAGAAAGAAGACACCATCCTTTTTGGTGGAGCTGCTGATGCCATGACTGTATAAAACCCACATACAGTCTAACAGGAGGACAGAACAATTATAATGTAGACTCAAGACTGCAAAATTTAAGGTTTTATAGAAGAATCATAGAAGAAACAGATTATAGACTCAACACCTCACTTTATCTCATCTTTATAAGCCACACTGGAGTATAAAACATACTAATAATGAATATGACATTTTATCTCTTTCATCTCCATAATATTTAATCTAAGTGCATACGCCCTCAAAGTCAACTTTGTGGGAGTGCTCAGTCTCACTGTAGAGAGGTAAATTCACACACTCACAGCTCTCATTACCCATAATGAATGGTTTTAGAGGCAGAAAGCACAAATCTGAATCATCTGTTTCCTTTAAACCCACTCACTCTACCATTACGTACCTGAGAGAAACTATGGTTTGAGGACAGCTCTCCCTTTTCTTCTCTCTCCTTCCCTGTTCTGTATCTCAAAACTTCTGGTTTGTTTTCCCTCCTGTAAAGCTGCCACTGAGAGAAGACTTTACTCCGGTAGAGAGGGCGACTATCAGCAGAAGGCCACTCCTTTTCCTTCTGTACCTCCCTCCCCAACTCTCTCGTCCGTCGACCCCTCCTCCTTCTCTGGCTGAATGACAATACCACCTCCCTCCCAACCGTAAAAGGTGAACAGTTAATCTCGGGCAAAGTGCAGTGAAAAACATGACACATTCATCCACTATGAAAACTTGGCAGGCACACACACACATAGACATACACATACTGGCATGCGTGCACGTAGACACACACACACACACACACACACACACACATACAGAAAGGCATGCAACAGTTGGGCAATCTAACCATAAGAACAGTCAGACTTTTTACAAATGCAATATACTGTATCATGAAGTATCTCATAAGGTTTTTCGCCCTTAAATAGACAAAAAGAGACACACAACCACCTCCCACTTTCTTTATCTTTTTGAATGCCAGCAGGATGTGACTGTACCTGCCTTTTACAGCCACTCTCTATCTCAAACTGTCCGCTTTCCCTCTTGTGCAGCTCTGCCTTATTGTTCTGTCAGCTTTATTTTCCCTACCTCACTCATTGAGTCTGCCTCCTTTTTTCTTCTCCCTCTTTCCTTCTTCCCTTCCCCCACTACATTATATCACTTTAGACTTGACTCACTATCAGTGTCACAAGGCAATGCTTCCATTTGTGCCTCACCAATGTCTGATAGTATGCGGTGGACTTCATCGGACTCTCCTGATGGAGCTTTTGTGTTCGAAGCAACAGCAAAGGAGCAGCAGCATTACAGTGCAATGAATCAGGGCATTGTGCAAGAGGAGATATTGGTGTATTAGGAGGGGGGGCAGTGAGTGATGTCTGAGAGAGCTATGAAAAAGCTGCTTTGTTGTGTTTGCTGCTCTCCACCAGAGTGAGTCTAAGCAATATCAGGTCTGCTGATCAGCAAATGTTAGTGTGGTTAGTTTCCGGAGCCAAACCTTGTGAGGTTTACTCCCCCTCCTATGAGAGCCAAAAGGGAAGGATGGAGCAGGCAACTAAATGTTGGATAAAACTTTCCTGATCGATGTGGGTCGGCGTGAAAGAAGAGTGAGGCAGGAATGTGTGAAAGAGGGTGAACAGGAGACGGAGATGAGGAGAGCGATGGGGGTCTCTGTTGTTCCAGCTCTGTGGAAAGGAATGCTGCAGTGATGTCACGGTTGCAGGAGGGAGCATGTCTACTGATGACACAATCCCCAGACCTCCATGCTCCGCCCCCCCTCCAAGCACCCAAAATCCTCATTAAACCCTCTGAACCTCTTCACTGCCTCTAAAGCATGACTTTTCAATTTACTCACCAACATTGCTGTATAGTGTTTTTACTGGAATCCTCAGTTTTGAACTATTTGGGAGAGCGGAGCAACAACGAGAAGAGAACGGAGGGAAATGAAGAGAAAGAACAGGAAGAAACACAGTAGATGACAATTACAAATACAATTGATGTTGACTTCCTAACTGTAAACATCTGCAGGGGTGGAAAAACTATTTCCCTGGGAGAAACACTGTTACTTTACCCAAATATATTCTAAGTGCGAGAGGGATTGCTGGACTTCTTCGAGTAATGAATAAAGGAGTACTTCAGCAAGTTGGTGGAGCACATTGAAAAGGAAATGGTGACAGCAACAACAACAAGCTCAACAACAACCATACAATGACTCCCATAATGCAACGGGGTAGTGTCTTTCATTAGAGCCCCCCTGCCTCCCACATGCCCACTTTTTAAAACCCCAATTCTTCCACTATGTAATGCAGGTTTTCTGATGAAAGGATTTAAGACCAACTTTACAAAGCTCCCTCCAAAGTCACAAAAGACATTATACAACCGCTTTCACAGGGTTGACGAGTGAACTGATCTCCAAGTGTAAAATTGGTGGAGTTCCCCTTTAATTATTGACACACGGTCACCATCAGTTGACCATAGATGCCAATGTGACATCCTGATAATTACCGTATTAAAATAGACATGAATTAATGCATTATTCATTCTCCAAAAAACCTCTTGAAAAATAGTTGTGTAGAATAGCTGGTCTACTGCAACCTAAGTAAAATTCATGTCTAAAAAGTGCTTCTCAATTAATTTATTTAGATACTCATATTGGAGACTGTTTTATATATTTCCTCTGCTGGTAGAGGTTTCATTTGATTAAACTGTGTAGTTTTCTGCTCATCTCTCTTCCACTCTATGGCTTTATTAAATGACTTAAGAAGTATAATTATACTGTGTTTCTACAGAAAAACATCATCCACAATACAGATTTTTCATTATGCAGCTTGGCAACATCCTTTCATGCATTTGTCTTCCATTACATGACTCATCAAAACAGTGCAACATAATAGAAAAGCAACTGCCCGCAACAATCATATTTACTGAAGATCCTCATCTTCCAGTTAGTGCTTTAAAAGGAAACAGCAGCTGCTATATGGTGGAAAACTACAAACTCCTTATTCTATTCTTCAAGACTCAATAACAGTCAGTACACAATAATCCTTTACTGTTTTATTAATATCAAGTTTTAGTACATCTTGTCACTGGAGGTAGTCACTGGTATTTGAGGTAGATTTCAGGTACATCATCAATTGTGATCTGATGATGTTTTCTTTGTGCGTTCCCTTGTTTTGTGACTGGATTTGCTCAAGCTTGTGTCTTCTTCATCCTAAAATTGAAAAATGACAAGTCAATCTCACCTGTCATTTAAACATTTCTCAAAATTAATAATAAGTTAGAGTAATATAATGAATACAGAAACAGTCATGGGGTAGAAATGATGGCTTTAATGCATTGATTCACACCGACCTTTAACGCAGCTTGCAGCAGGTCCTGGGAGGGCAGCAGGCAGACTGCTTCACCCAGGAAAGTGATGAGGATGTGGAGGACATCAGACCAGTCACCCACAGTCAGCATGAGCACCAGTAAGGCTCCCAGTCGCAGCAGTACAGTGTGCATCAGGGCTTCTGTACCAGTATGCCGATTCTGGTCCTCTGTGTAAAATGAAACAAAAAGACTCCATTACACAATAATGCTTAAAGGTGTTTTGTGCACCCAGCAGTAATAACTATTGAATAATGGTATACCAGCTTGTGCTTGAGATAGGGGTTGTGTTTTATATGTATTGTGTCATTTCATATTTATTGTCAGTTTTATTGATCCTATTTTTAGGTGTATCAAGTATTGCCCTTTTGTTTATTAACATCAACACAGGTTTTTTAAATTTAGTGGCTATGTGGGTCCCTGAGTTTGTGTTCTTTCATCTGTTGTCTGCTGTGATTCATGTCTTTTGTCTTATTTGTTGTCAAAACTAGTTTCTAATCTGATCTAAAAGTTTTCTCTCTCCAGATGTATTACTGAAGGACCATTTTCATTCCCCAAATAGTTCAATCACCTTGAATATAGACCACCAGCATAGTGTAGCAGAGCGTCAATGGAGTCCAAAACTTCAGAGCATCTTTCTGGGACAGGAAATGGTCGTAAATCGTAGTGGTGGAAGCCACAGTTGCTAGAGCAAAGGCCAAGATAACCGCTTTTTGCAGTGATGCCAGTATGGTGTGTCCAGAGGTCAGGAGGTTGATGCACTTCCCACAATAACGCTCTGTGCTATGTAGTGGGTAGAGTCTGGCCACATGGCTCCACAGATCGTAGCTGGCGCTTGACAGTGCCCAGCTGAGAGCAGCTGCCAGAAACAAGCTGAGGGAGCTGTGTGGAGCCCCCTGATGGAGGAAGACCAGAGTACAGGTGAGGCCGCAACCCAAGGAGAACTGGCTCTGGATCAGGAGCCGGTCTAGGCCTCTGCCATTGGCATCCTGAGTTCAGATACAGGAGCGTGGATGAAACAAGATCAGATCAGTATTAGAAAGATCAATACAAAGAACTAACACTGAACGTGCACTTGCTTATAGATGTAAAACAAGCTTAAATCAATCAATTAAATCAATTCATGGGTTTGATTTACTCACCAGTCCTGCTGACACCCAGGCAGAAACCACTCTGAGAGAAAACTCCAGCACTATCAGAGAGGAAACCCTCGAGCCCACCAGAGACAGGAGGACCGCCAGGGACCAAAACTGGAGAACATCTTTCCAGTTCCCCCTCAGAGGATTGTCAGGTGAGGATGACCTCGGTTTGCTTTCAGTTTCAGATTCAGAATCACTGTGGAGAGAAAATTAGATAATATCTATATATACACACTTCGCATAAAATAATCTATATATTGTCTTTCCTTTTTACAAAATAAACTCACCTGATTGTTTGAGTGAAGTGGTAAACTCTCATCAAATTGCACAGCACTGATATTCCACTTGCACCCACAAGACCTTTAAAACACAAATAACACCACAACCAAAATAAGTATGTAAAGAAACTACTTTACATAGAAATACTTTAATATTTTATAGCCTTGAGGAAGAAAAACACGTCAACTCACCTTGAAAAAAACTGTCTATTGGGTTTGAATCAAGGATCCAGGAGTAGGGCAGAAACATTTTTGTTTTCCTCGTCTCAACAAGGACACTACGATTTCTCACTCATGCTACCTCAATCTAAGACCTGATCAGAAACTACAAGTCAGTGAAAGCTGAATTCCTGCGAGCCAAACAGTCACGTTGCCTTTATGTCTTTCCTGCCGATCAGGTCGGCTCCATGCTTCAGTCTCAAAGGTCAAATGTGTTTGACTGCTTTTGTCAGTTTAATCATTTCCTGATGAAAGGGGCTGAAGATCCTCTCAAAAAGATGATTAGGCTCACAGATCAATCAGACACCTTTAACTGGGTCAAAATCCAATTAGCTTACAATGCGTCTTAGATATCATGTATCTTGTGTCCAAGATGATACAAAAACAAATATATTTAAACACATTTCATACAAAAGTCTTTATTATTATTGTTATTATTATTATTATTATTATTATTAATAATTGTCATCAACTGTTTAAAGGCTTGAAATACCCGTAGGTTACATTTCTGTAAATCAAATCGTTGAATGAAATGGCATTCTTGGCTTTAGATACCAGTAGTTCATATGTCAGTAGATAAAAACATTCACATCAGATGTCTTTCTTCAAATACAACAGACAAGGCAACTGGAGTCATCCATCAAACTGTGACAGTTTACAGCAGCCTCACTATAAACCTGGAATACATAGCTTATGTTTTAACAATCCAGACCCGTTGTTCAGGTCATCGGCTCTCCATTGATATCCTGATATTTTTGAAAGCCACGTGGGCCTCATGTCTCTCATTCAAGTCAGCACGTGGAAGCCCGAGGCATTGCTTGTAGATTAATCATTTGAGGTATTAAAGTAAAACCTGATAGTTTGTCAGCTACTTTTTTTTTATTAATTGATGGACCTCTTAACAGTCAATCCTGCACAGTTGTTTGGGATGTTTTAGCTTCTTCCCTGGCTGTGGTTGTCCTTTATTGTCTGTTGCCTCATCACATCCCAGAACAGCATGCTGAGCACCGTGTGTGGGGCTAAACGCAGGAAGACTGGGCCCATGCCTTTATACAACCCCAGCAGGCCTTCAGCTTGGCACACCTTCAGCATACAATCTGAAAATCCATGATACAGACGGCCCTAAAACACAGACAAGGAAAAACAATAAGTCTCCGGAGCTGTTGTGTTTGTTTGTGTGTGTGCATTTAGCTAGAAAACTTATGAAAGTCTTTTGTGCCATTATTGAGGCCAAGAACAAATCTGATGTCTTAAACTCACCCTATGAGACTCATCCACCGGCTGGTTGTAGAGACGTGTACTAATGACATCAAATGGTGTCATTGTGATCGCCACAGCGACTCCACTGATCATGGCAGCTATCAGAGCCGTAAGCCAGCTGTTTGGACTAAACCACTGAAAGGAAAGAAAGAAACTGATTATCAACTGAGGTTTGACTTTAGGCTGACAGCAACTGTTCGGTTACACGTGCTATAAAAATGTCAGCTGTTTCTCACGTCTACCTGGGAATGTGACACCCAGTCCTTGGCCGAGGTGAAGGTTGCCAGTTGGGCAGCTGATCCCACCATGACTCGAGGCACGGCCCCGTTCACACCCCTCCAAAGGCCAATTAAACCTTCTCTTCTATAGATGGTAACGAAGGCATCAGATACTCCCTGAAATGGAAGAAAGCAAAGGCATCAGTGTGTTGGAGATAGCAGTTAATAGTACCTCATGCTACTGTGTATGTTTTTCTATCATGTAGCGGTATATTATAGTGATAGAAACATGTTTCAACCTTTTTAGGAGCAACTTTCCGATGTGTTAAAAAGCTTTCTTCATGCACATAACTTTGAGTCCTACTAGTATAGTAGAAGTTTAATGCTGCATGTGTTAACTTATCCACCTCTAACAAACTTTAAACAACAAATACATCTACATCATCTATGGGAGGTGGAATGGTGTACTGACTTCTGAACTATTTGTGATGCCCCTTACAATCAGATTTTCAATGAGCACAAAGAAACTTTCCACTTTCAGCAGATGAATGTGAAAACATCCTTCTAGTGTCAAACTCATTCATTCTGCACAGTGAAGATCAAACATTCAACTGTAGAAACAATAAGAAAAACACATTTTTGACTGGAGAGGGACTTCAGTCAAAAACTTTCCATATTATGCAGCTTTATACATCAATACATTTTAGAGGGAAATATAATTTTTACTCAAATACATTTATTTGAGCGGTATGACTAAAGTTGCATAGTTACTTTGTAAACTAAAGACACTGAACATATATATATATATATATATATATATATATATATATATATATATATATATTTATATTTATATATTAATCACTCTGATTAGATCAATTAATCAGATGTAAGTTAGGTGGAGCGATGCTGTGAATTATGTAATGACACCACTCTATATGTACTAATGAGAATGATAACAGGGTAAGATGTCCCAGCCCAACAGGTTCAACAAAACCAGTAGAATGGTGAGGGAGCTGTCAATCAAACGCTGTTCATACACCCACACCCACACAAACAGAGATATCAGTTTTAGCAAATGATGATAAGTATTTAGTATTTACCTTAAACTATATATAACATTAAAATGCTGTTTTTCACTTTAATGCATCAGTTACCTACTGTATCGGTATACTTATATATACTTTTACTTTGAATTTTGAATGAATGATCTTTACTTATATTAGAAGATGTTTACACTGTGTTATTGCTACTTTTAGTTCAGTAAACAACAAAATAATTGGAGATAAAAGAACATATATGTTCATGTGTTGTATAAGTCTTACCAGGTGGTTATGCTGGTGGCCCACTGCTATAGTTTGCACAGTTTGAGCCTGCAGATGGGTCTTCACCTGTGAAGAAATGTATCACACAAGTTTTAATGTGTATTCACAATGTACAAGATACTGTGCCAAAGACAATAATCTACATACAGACAAAACCAGACTTGTCACTAAGTTGGATAATGTCTGAGTCAGATGCCAGGATAACTAATCTAACAATTACAGGTAACTCATGGTTACATAAGACTTTGTCAGGATCTTGTCATTTATTTGCACCAACCCTTAACAATCAAACTGCTGCAGCTCAACACCAAGACCCCTCTCTCCTTGAGCTCATATAAAGCGCCAATAAAATAACCTTCACTTCTCCTTCCCTCATTTGCTGTCAACAGCACAGCGCAGAGCCACCAGATATTGTATATTTTTGGCAGCAGTGGGTATAGTTGAAGCAAAGTGCAGGGTATATTTAGTAACCTAGATATAGACAAACACGTCAAACAGTATTGTCTTTCCATGACGGTGCAAAAGGTTAGATGGTTTTAAATGTATTGACTGACAGCTGTGGCAGAAAAACAACAACACTAATCCTGTCCTATAAGCAGGATCCTGCAGAGGACATAAGGAAATTAACTGTGCCATTAATCCGGAAAGAGATCGGTGTGAATGTCAAAACGTCTGAAAATGATCATTTATGAGTGCTTCAAGTCTCGCCTGGCTTTATAGATGCACATTAAATCTGTATCTATTTTGACAAACAAGAGTGGGACCTGGAGAGAGGACAGAGGGGCAATAAAAAAGATAAATTACTCATCCGTCTGGACCAGATATGGTTAAATTGGCTTAAGATCATATTATTTTTCATCTTGTGTTCTTTCAATCTAGATGTAATTTAATTAACTTCAAGCTGTGACTAACCTGACTCTACCCCCCACACACACCTGTGTAATGATACTTTACCTCACAAGCACTTGCACTGGGTAAAAACATCAATCCAGGACATTTGAGACACCTTTGAAACTGAGCTGGTGCGCTTTGATGTCGCTGTTTGTGACGACTTACGATACAGTAACGCTGATGGTTTCCATAGTTTTTTCACATTATTAGAATTGTGACACATTTATTTTTACCCAGTTAGGAAGTTGCTGTTGTTTTCCCATCTTTCCCCTTTAAACCATACGTTTAAGAGATTCAATAACACAATCTTCTAAAGTATCTTCCATATTTACAGTCTTTTTAGTACCAAAATCCCTCTTTGTGTTACTACACAATACAGGACCATAACTTTTCCTGTTCCTATATTTTAACTTTGAGCTATTTTATGCTTTAGATTCTCATTTTTATACTTTATTTTTTGTTTGAGCTTTGTTAGAGGGTGGCTAAGAATTAAGAATTCCATTGCCAATGATTGCTTCAACGTAACTGTTGTGTATATGACAATAAAGAACTTGAAACTGAGTAACACTATCCCGATTTGTCTAAGTCAGACTGCTGAACCCTCATATTATTTCATTTGTTTTAGTGCACACATGGGTAAGTGAGTGTGTCTAATAGCAACTGAACTATAAACACCTCTTTCTCTATAATGTTGCACAAGCTTTGTGGCGTGCGAGTTAACAATGTAATCTAATGTGTGTCACACTGATCTCGTTTACAAGGCCGACATATGTGTTATGTTGCTGTAGATCATTACTTCAGGGGAGGCGAGGGAGAAGGGTTTGTCAGCGAAGATACGGACACAACAGGTGCAAACATGATCTAATTTCTCGTCATAGATACAGTATGTGTGTTGGCCTTAAACTCTGAAAACAGTACAAGTGTTATGCTGAAACCTTTTGCATAATATATTTAATCCTTCCCTCAGAAAACAATTACCTGTATCATCTTTCCACATTTACTCTCTTGTCTTCGTTTCGCTTATGTCAGTCGTTTGGCTGTTAATTAACTTATTCAGTGTAACCTAATCAGATTATCCACTCTCAATGGTGCATGAGGTTTCAATTTTCTAGTAAGATACCACCAAAGTGGCATAATGGCTGACATCTCGTCCAACATTTGAGGGAAATATTTCAAATGTTCACAAGAAAAAGGAGCATAAGACTCTCTTTCAACAGTAACATTAATATATCCTGAATGTAACATAACAAACACAAAAATCACATAGTTGTGACTGTAAACATCTTTGTTATAGACAGTAACTGGACACGATATGAACTGAACTACAAATGGCTTGTAACATCTAATGACTTAATCACAAAACCTATAGCGCAATGGTTCCTGTCAGGACCCCTTCAAAGGGTTGCAGGATGAATGTATGGGGGTCGCCAGATGATTACCAGTGTAAGAAATAATAATAACTAGTTTTCTAATATTTGCTCTTCTCTTGCTAATGCTGTATAGTTTCATCTCTTCAGGCCTCTAAAAACCAGCGCAATCAAACAGTCTGAGAAGATAAACAACTGTTCACAACTCAGACGTTCACCCTGTGATGAGCGGCCGCAAATAGAGATTTCAGGCAAAAAAGTAAACTTACCAGGTAGGCAGGAGAGGCAATGAAGGCACCCAGCGCCCCTGCCCCTGCCCCTGACAGCAGACTCCCCCCATGGAACGAGGTGATACCCAGAGCTTCACAGTAGGAGTAGGAGCCCAGCCTCACACCATTCATCACACCCTGGTAGATCAGTCCAACAGAGAGCCCCTTCTGCAGGCCCCGGAGCCCATCTGTGCGGCCCACCACCCAGAGGGCCTGCAGGACTCCACGGTAGTGTCTCTGGTAGGATCCCCGTGCACACAGCTCTCCCTGAAGCTGCAGACGGGTCTTTACAACCTCCAGGGGATTGGTGAACACGCAGGCCGCACAGCAGGCAAGGGCACCCAGGGCGAAGTCCAGAGGCGGCCAGACAGCTGGAGGAGGCGACGAGGGGCCGAAGACACCGCGGGGTACCGAGGACACAGTGGATGCCATCCTGTGTGAAGGTTGGGCATCAAACAACACAGACTCTACTGGTTAAGTGTTCAGCAGCCGAGCACTGGTCATCCCTGAGAAGTGATCCCTGAGAAGTGAACTTCACAGTTTGTCCTGTTCGTCCTTGTGATGACTCGTCCCCCTTGTCCCAGATTGTCAGGGAACAGAGAGAGAGTGTGTATTGTACTTGGTACAGAACAAATCAGCTTGTGTGATAACTCATTCAATGTCTGTTTAGCATGTTCCTCCAATGATACTACAGGTCAGTCCTTCTGTATTGACTTTCGTTAGCTTCCTTGACTGTCAAGCTGTTCAAAGGCACCATCTGCAACACAATGTATTCATGCTTAAGCAAACATTTTTAGGTTCAGGTGTGTTTTTCAGAGGCTCAGCTCTACATATCAGGACAGAGAGGCCATGTGCCACAAGACAAAAGACTAAGAGGAATCCTGCTGGAATGGAAACATTCAGGTTTTAGGTCTTCACATGACACACCTCACATATTTTAAAAACCTGTCCGAAAAAAGTTCCTGCCGTCTCTTTAAACTTACAGCATGAGATTCAACAACACTACAGCTGGAAATGCAAACACAGATAGAAAACAGCTTCATTTAATACTAAATCAAACATTAAAGGGTGCATCTTTCAGAGCAGACAATCCCAGGATCACCTGACACGAACCAGTCCCACACCACTCTCATTCAAACCAACATACAACTAAACTAACAAGTACAGTTCAAGTACCAAAGGCAAACCCGCTCCAACAGAAAACTTCTCTCATGTGCCTGTTCAAAAGTTGGAAAATATCTCTTGAATTTGGTTACTTCATTCAGTTAACTCACAGTGTCCAGTGCTCCTGTGCAGCTCCATTCTTCCCCATCATTGTAAACATGTGTCCTCAGCACATTCATTGTCAGAGTCTCCTCCCACTGCCTCAGGTCAGAGCCAATACCGCTTCAGTCCCATCTAGCACATCACCACGTCCCTAAATCTGCACGAATCAAATGGCTCTGAGCTAAACTGCCCCTGCTCTGGTCCTATGGGAGCTCTCTGGGTAAAAGGTTATTGTTGGTAAAAGAGGGGGGGTGGAGTGTCTGAGGGAACGGAGAGCAAGGATTCAAACACTGACTGAGAGTTGTCCGAAATAAGGTTAATCTGCCAAAGATAGTACGGATAATCTCTGAAACAAAACAAACAAACCAAGGCTGTGTTCTATTTTTGCACCACATGATTCAAGTAGACATATTCTCAGAGGAACGAATCATTTAGAGGCATTTTGAGCATTAAGATTAAAATTCATAAATGCTAATGACCGTTCATTGAGAAATATGGTAGCTATAAATTACACTTGGAACAAATTATACATCCTGCAATTGAGATGAGTCATCTATGTGGTTTTTTCTCTTGTGCTGTATGCAACAGAGCCACTAGAGGGCACTCTTCTAAGCTCTATACATTACAACTACTCCAAACACCATCAGATAGTTGACTGAATAAATCAAATGCAACAACTAAAAGCTTGTTTTCAGTATTGGAAAGTGGACAACAACAATCTCACCACAAAGAAGCTTCTGATGGTTTCACATGATCTTCCTCAGCTGATGGAGTTTGGCTCAGTTGTCAGTAAGTTGTCATGTTCACTTTTTTAAATACTTCTCATGGAAGCAAAGAAAGGCTGTAATCATTGTAATCTTATAATATAAACTGAACAACTAACTGTAAAATGTAATCACTAATAAATACTTACTTTTAAAATCTTAATACCACTGAATTTGTAGCATTTAAGTTTTACTTTGAATGCCATTTGCCTGGTTTTATCCTCTTGAGAGAACACATTATCACATATTGAGATAGAAAATGTAGATGTCCAATATTCATCAGTCATTTTTTTTATATCTAAAAATTCAACTCAATAAAAAAGTTTTAAATTTAGAAAACCTGAACACCCAAACAACCAAAGAAAATAAACTGTGAGTCACATGATCCAACACATTCACATCCCAGAGACAACTGTATGATTAGAGTTGGTTGTTTTAGAATTAAAAATATTTTCTGACAATGACATTATATTCAAATTTAAGCTTAAATTATATGGTCTTTGGCTGATATGAGGTGTCCATATTTGTTTGGTTTGCAGAAACTGCCAAGTTGGGTTTATTGGAGCTTTTAAAAGTTTCCCAATGAAAGTTCAACTGACGTAAACATTATTTTCAGGTCTGAAACTCATATTTACGATATTACATGAACTCAGCAAAAGCACTTAAAGTCAGTACATTTTCACCCTTAAATTATTGGGTCTGAATTAAACAAACTTTGTGCAACTTTATCTTTTGTTTCAATTTGATTTGATAGATCCAAAAATGACAAACTGAATTTAAATAACTTGAATATATTTTTTGGAATATTGGACACGTGGAATCATGTTTCTATTTATAATTGGCCTCCTTAAAATGTGTTAAAAATGTGAATTCAACCAAATAAATTCCAAGATTTTTCAGGTTTTCAAACTATTTTAAAACTTTAAATTTAGTAAAATTTAAATAGTTTCACGTTTGTTTTGGGTTTCTTCTAAAATTCAAATTATTATGAACTCTCTTTGCTTCTATATTTCTCACCTACACTCGCTTAAGTTTATACAATAAAAATGTGAAAATCTAGATATCAATGACAACAAGGCAAACTATTCACACACTCACACAAGGAATATTAAGACTTTGACAGAGCAAACATGGAGGCCTTTATTGTTCAACTATGTTTATAGTACAGTGCCACATCTCTCACCAACCATGGCCCCCGACACACATTAGTCAACAACTTTAAACCACCACCGTGCACACAACACGCACACACGCACGCTCACACTGTTTTCAATGTAAACATTGCAGGCTTAAAGAGTGATACAAAAAACAAGGTAGTCGTCAACCGTTTCTGTTAAAAGCGTCCGTTCTTCTGGAATTACTCTCTCTCGAGTTCAGGGTGACACAGAAAAACAGAAATGTTATTGTTTGGTTGATCACCTTTTGGGGAACAACAAAAAAAAAAGTCCTGTTCTCTCTAATCACCGCAGGCCCAAACACACGCTCACACACGCGCACGCACGCACACACACGCTCGCACACGCACACACACACACACACACACACACACACACACACACACACACACACACACACACACACACACACACACACACAGAGAGTCAGGATTCTCATTCAAACAATTGGTTTTTATCAAAGTGTAGTTAGTGTATTTTGAACGCTTGCTTTAGGCAGACGGGAGAATAGTGAATTTCTGAAGTGGAACATCTAACAATGATTATGTTCTTTTCCCATAATCCTCTCTATAGGACAAAGGCCTTGTGTGTCAATTCCCTTGTGTGGTCACAGGGTGGAGTGTCTTGTCTTCCCAATCCTGCCTGGAGCTGCATTACCTTTTAGCACGGACAAAGTACAAGGCGTTGGTTTTAGGGTAGTACTTCACATTCTGTTTTTTGTCCATGAGGCCCCCAAAAATGATGAGCTCCCCCCTTCCCTGTACCACTGTGTGAAGGCTGGTCTCAGGTGGCCCTGTGACCGCAGCGGGAGTCCCGTTCCCATAAACTCTCCAGGACACCACCCCAGCAGATTTGGCCCGGGACACATCCAACACGTACATCTGCATGGGCTTGCAGTTGAGAGACTGGTACAGAGGTTTCCCTACGTTCAGGCTCTGAGGTGGGTGATGGCCAAGACGCCGTGCAATAGGTGGGATAGCGTGTCCGTCAGCTCCAGCAGCCTGTGGAGGGCTGGAGGAGGATGACGGAGGGGTTCCAGGAGGACCCGCTCCTCCACCGCTTCCTCCTCCCGGAGAAGCCCCCTGTGTCTGAAGGGAAGACGATGACGATGATGATGGTAAAGATGAGGAAGATTTGTTTTTCACTGCCTCCAGACCTCGTCTTAAGGCAGCGGGGGACACTGCTCCTGGGGGAGTGCGCGGGGAGCCTGCGGGAGGTGTATGCAGGCCGTTAGTGCTGGGCACCTCGGGGTGGTGAGCGGCAGAAGGGGGAGACTCCCAGTCATAGTCTGTGGAGGCAGGAAGGTGAGGGCGAGAGGGGGGAGACGCAGCCTGGGCTGGGCTGGTCCGGGGTGAAGGGGAGGATCCATTTAATAACGGGGGAAGTGGAGGAAGAGGAGGGCTGTCTGGGCCTTGTGAAGGAGATGGTTGTTGGGATGAAGATGGGCTCCCATCTCTGGCACTTCCTCTCGCTGAAGGCCGAGGTCTCAGCGTGCCCCATCGACCGTTTACACACGGAGCCTCTTCAACAGCTCCTAGGACAACGCCAGCGGCCCCGCTCCGAACAGGAGACTGAGAGCGCAGGGAAGGCGGTTCGGGGCCCAGAGGGGCAGGTGTGGCACTTATGGGGGAGGGCCGAGAATTCAGACTTGGGCTGAGCGGTGCACGGCCAGATGGAGCCTGTGAGAAAACCACCACACACTGACCCACCTTGAGGTAAATGAACAAGAAAAAGCCACATTAGTAATCAATCTCATGACTACACACGCAGAATAGGAGTGACAGCTGAGACGGACACTTACTCTACACGCTGGGTGACACCACAGCTCCGGGGCCCCGTGGTCCTCGTTTTCCACTTGCAGCTGCTGCCACCTCCATGGTGGAGAATCCATGTGGAGGAGCCAGGCATCTTTAAGGAGCTTTAAACACACCAGACAACAGGAAAAGTCAAGACAGTAAACACTTGCAGTCACAGAATATTGGCTCCAATATATAGATATGTTGTACTGATAGTAGCATGAAGTAAAAACAACTTACTGCATTGGGGCCTCCACAACCTCCCAAGATGAGCAACGTCTGATCGTCAATCACAATCTAAAAGGAAAACATTAAAAAGGGTGATTGTTTAATTTCATATGAAACTGTTAAGTGGAGGTGCATGGAGAGGGGAAAGCTGTTTTACAGGGTCACAACTCCAGCAACATTTTATTTAAATGCAAACTTTATTGTAAAGAAGTTGAAATGAGTTTGTCAGAGAAAAGAATGGATTATTTTATCTAACTTGAATGTTGAAGCCTGCTCACCTGTGATTGGCCTCCTCGTGGGTGGGGTGATGGGCCAGATATTGGTGGTTTGGACCAGGACCACTGCTCCAGATCCAGAACCCAGACTTCATTACTCCTAATCAGAACCATTAAAGGGGACAACATGTTGAGATGTGACAGCCAAAGATTTCATTCACTACTTCAATAACAAAAGTTTGAGACTTAAAGCTGAAATGTGTATGGTTATACATTAAAATATCATTACATCCATTACTATAGTGGAGTGTGATAAAACACAACCTTTGTTGGGGACTGTTGATCAAATCTGTCAAACTAGACAGATCAAGGTCTTCTAAAAGCCCCTCTACACAGCTCCTGTGCTTTATACAAGTCTATTTTTTTCTGTTATGTATGTAATTACAGTGAAGGTGTAACTGAGATACATATCACCTGACACCTGAGAAGTCAATGACATTTTTACAATCTACTAACAACAAGGTGAAACACCTTTGCAAACACGACACTAGATGTCCTGTAATCTTTTCCAGATTTGAATCCGCAGCTGAGTTTTGGATTATGTGTAATTACATAGAAGTAAATCATTCGTACATTTGACGTGCTCCTAGTGATCCCCCAAACACCACCATTGTGTTTCCAATTACAGAGGAAGAGTGGCCAGCCATGGGTGGAGGTCCATGCGTTGTTACTATACAGTTCCACCTGAGACAACAGAAGAAAAAAATGTATCACAAAACAGAAGAAAAATATGATGAAGAAAAGTTCAATTGCATAAAGTTTCATCCTTTCACTCCTTTCACTTTAACAAAGTACTGAAGTCTTTCTCACCAGTTCTTTGAAGGAGAGTAGGTGTGGATTTCATCAAAAAACCTTTCTGGTTGGTGCAGTGGATAAGGGCTGGGGCGAGTCCATCCCCCAAACAGCACTAACAGATCTTTGTGCATCACTAGAGTTGCTCCAGCTTTAGGAGATGGATAAGAGCCTGTAAAAGAAAAGACCAATCACCAAACAGCTTCCTACTTAATGCCTTAAGTGAAAATGGTTGAACAGAAATGGACAACATAATTCTATTTTCACCTCCCATACACGTGATGAAAAGTAAAAAAACCAAGACACACCACCTGAGCATTAATTTTATGATGTAGTCGACCAAATCTCTTACAGTAAATGCTGTTTACACAGGTGACATACATGGAGCCCTGTCTCTTAATCCTTACAATGCAATTTCATAAAAAGGCACAATAAGCTCTAAAGTTTACAGCCATAAAATATAAGTGCATTAGTAAAATCATTTACTACAATCTCATCTCATCTGTGCTTCTTTATTTTTTTATCACCACCTCCTCAAATACTGTGTAGTCAGCTGCTGCTGAGCATCAGACTACTATATTCACTTATGTGGTTCGCCCTCCCACAATTTCCCTTACATAAGCCCCATGTGATATGTAATATGCAGCTTTTACTGCTCGTAACCTCCTTGTACCTGAGGCTAAAGGGCGGATCCACTCCTTGCTGTTGAGGTCAAGTCTCCATAGATCATTGAAGGCAGCATTGCAGCTACTCTGAGTGCAGCCCCCGAACACATACATTGACTGGTTTGAGTCATAATAACATGCACCTGCAGTCAGAAAAGGAAAAATTAACAACAGCTTATTAGCAACTGCAGCCACCAGTGAGCTTTGAGCATTTTCTTTAATACTTTTGTATTCACAGTTGCATCAAGAGATTGTTTCAGAATTTAAAATAGACATTTTTCAAAATGGCCTAGTTTTCTCAATCAGATGACCTTAAAATCCAGTTAGGTTTGTCTAACACTCTAAGGCAAATTATTACATACATCATGAGATTCTACATAAACATAAAGATAAACTAAGTGGTATTAAGGCATTTTATGTCAGTGAATGTAGCTCCAGCATTTGTCACTGAACATGTGCAAAATTCAAAGTTGATCACAAATCACTGTTTTTTTTTTTAAAGAACATTTCTGATCAAAATGGAAAGCTGGGGATAAAAGGTTTGCATCAGGTAGATGCTGGAAACACGAATAGTTGCTGCCTCCATAACACAAAATCTATTTAAAGTGATTGTGAATTCCATCAGATAACAAAATGGATTAAGGGTCTGATGTTGCTCTTTTCCTGAATCACTAATATTTCACAGGCCAGAGGCCATTTTATCTGCTGCATACTGAACTCACAATCTGATCCACCGCTGAAAATAAACTGACACAATTTGATACACAAGACGTATAACCTGGAGTTGTGTAGTTTTGATGTCCGGGAAAAAGTGGTTTAATTTAGCACCGTATGCATGAGGTGCAACTAATTTTGACATGAAGCATTGTAACGCATACTGACTGTGTGAGAAGCGCTGCGTGATAGGGGTTCCTGGATATGGGTACGTGCGACTTTCCCACTGGATATTTCCCTCCTGGACAGCTCTCAAGAAACCGTGGTAGCACTGATAAGCAACACCTAGTTCAGATAAAATATTATTAAGCAACATGAACACAAAAAAAAGTAGAGGACAACAACAACATTTTAATGAGAATTACTTTTTAAAACTTTCCCTCTCAGGTGTTTCAAGCTATGTGCCCACTCACACCCACTGTTACCAGGCCACCTTCTGATTCAGTTTTCATGTAAGATCATGCAAATATGTGAGGCGTACCTTTAATGAGGCGATACCACTGCTTACATACAAGCGCAGCAGTCTTGTGCTCCTGGTAAGGTGAGAGAAAGGACAGAATGTATTCAAGAACTTCCTCTGGCAACTCCACCATTGTCCTTCCCCCTTTGGCACCACTGTCCATGCTCCCTTCTTGTCGGCAGGACCCCATCTTTCCCTCCACTTCCTCTGCTATCCCAGCAGGCTCTGCACCATCGTCCTCTGTATCCATGGCAACAAAGCATCCATCCTCATTGTCAGGGGAGTGGGACATTATTGTCTGTTGAGATATGAGCAGACATGTTAGTGATGAATGCAGTAATATGCATGATGTACAGGAGCATGCTGACCATCCACTACGCTATCAACAGTGATTACAATGTAACATTACTTCCTTTCATACTCGTCCATTTAACATCTGCCCAATGTGTTCTTCACTGCCTTTGTGCTGCTTAAATTTAAAGAGGATGAAACCCCTAAACCCAAGACACCCAATGACTTTACCAACACAACATTTTTGTGGCATTTAGTGCTCAACAATCTTAATGATCACATCCATTGTCTGAAACGGGTGGTGCCCTTTCTTCAGCCCGAGCAGCTGGCCCCTCCACATAGCAACCTCTTCAATCGTTAGCTACATCTAACTTAGCTCTCGTTAGCCGTCACATAATAAATTAAATGTTGGTCTGCTAATGCTAATTACCACCTGAAAGCTAACTACCACGGAAAAAGACATGAAACTAAAGCCCCGCAGCCAAACGAGCAACCCTAAACACCAGTATTTCACTGACTGACCGGCGTGCAACAGCTCAATGTTACTGAATTAACATTTGATCCTCAGAGAATATCTGCTAGCATCGGCTAACGCTAGCTCACAGATCACGAGCATCCAAGCTATCGTTAGCTAACGTCAGTGGACCTGAAGCTAGCGGCGCACAGACCGAGATCACGCGTTTTCTTTTAAATACCTCTGCTCGACAAAGTGTGGACTTCCTAATGATCTGACACGACATCCTCTCAGGACGACAGCCACAGCTATCGCCTCACCCTGAGCTAGGAAGCTAGTCGACAATGTTCAGTGTACTGCTGGTAATCTTAGCTAACGTTAGCTTGTAGCCCAGGCGGTGTTCAGTAATTAACCAGCGTCAGCTCCTCTAATGTCTCTCCCTCCTCCTCCACGACATGTTGTCAAATAACTGTTGCAGAATTATTCCTACCGTTGTTTGAGACGTGTTTGTTTTTTTTTCCTGTGGTCTGTGAGACTGTATGTTCCCTCTCCTTCCTCCTCCCCCCGGTATCAGCTCCGGAGGTTCCTCTGCAGCCTCCAAACAGTCGCCATCTTCCGCTCTGTGCACAGCGTCCTCCGCTGCCTGTCTGTGGTACCAGGGTGGGTCCTCTGTACCACACACTGCGCCCCCTGCTGCCGGGGGCAAATGTGCTGCCGGGGGCAAATGTGCTGCCGGGGGGAGTTACAATCACCCTACATTGATGGCTCCCAACATTTTTCCTTAAATAAACCCCAGTTTACTATAATTTAGTAAACTAACAACCCTCTGACTAAGTGACATATTTTATGGAAAAAAAAACTGTACAATGAACCAAAACAATTTACATTATAATGTTTAAAAATTATACATACTTAATGGGTTTATTTTTGGGGAGGCAAATTCAGTGTTTTATTGTCCCTGACGCTGTTGTTCTATTATACAATTTACTTTACGTGTACAATTCTGAACCAAATGCTGAGAGATTGGGCTATTGTGTGTATTATACGTATTTAAAGTTTTCTTACACACTTTAAATCAAGAAGGCCTCACGACCCCCCATGATTCTTTGGCAACCCCCAGTGAGGGTCCTGACCCCACAGGTTGGGAACCACTGCCCTAGATTACCACTTTTAAGTAGAGGAAATTAACATTACACTTTAATATAATCAATGATGTGTTATATTAAAAAGGTGGGCTATTTATCTCATTTTGGTTGTAGTAAATGATGTAGTGACATTAGGTTTTTATTAGATTTCATAAACACCTGTGTATCAAAAAAGAAAGAAAGAATGGCCAGGTTGTTGTATATTGAATTATGCTTTTTCCACCTGTTACTTAATCCTCGATTAAAAAAAGAACCCGTTTTCATTATTGATTTGTTGTGTACGCCTATCACATTTCATATATTTCTGCACCCAAGAATAAAATATCTGTATTTAGTTGCCCTGTTATAGGACTGCTGTAATTTCATACCCCAGTGTTGGCCAGCTAACATTTAGTTTCCCCCAGATTTATTATGCAAGCAATGATGCTGAAATCAAGACACAAAACGCTTGTTGAACCCTACATGTATAACCAGTTTCTTCCTATTTTTTATTATGTTTTATATTTATTTTTAATTATAAACAGGTGTTACTAATAACATGAACAGTGGCTCTGTTCTATTCAAGTCACATGCAGTGTGACAGTGAGTCAGCATGCACAATACCAGCACCCTGAAACTACAGGAGCTGTATGTATACTAATTCACTCATCATTCATTTTATTATTTACACCTGTGTTTTTTTACTACTCTGCCATGTCAAAATGGGAATACATCCAATTTAAACTTGCAAAATATAAGAGTTTTGTTAACTGATCATTGTGGTGCTGAATACTGTGAGGAGTTGATTCATCCCTGAGTTAACAAATAATAACAATTATAATACAAACTAGCGGGTTGTATGAGAAGTCTAAGATTAGAAATGTAAGCTGGTCTTTGGTGATGACATAAAGTAACTATTGCAGTTTTTTAAAATCACTTTAATATTGTTTATTTAAATCGGGTGATACTACAATTATGCTGGCCGTATGATGGTGATATTTATTGCACCATAAATACTTGGAAATGGGAAATCCTTAAAAAACTGCCAAAGAAACCACAAATTACTTCTCTTAAAACAGGGCACACATCATTTAATGTGCTATACATTGATCATAGTCTGACCAACATGTGATAAAAATCCATTAAAATTGTATAAAACATTGTGATCTGGGGTGCATGAACTATATCTCTGAAACAACTGCAGAGGTGAGAAGATGACGGGCTGTAATGCTGCGTTTAAGTCACCACCGTTCATCTCTCATTTACTGGGAAATCAGATGGACACCGTTTATAACATGTCGCATTAAGATTTTATAATTTATATGGATTAATTTATTACCACATTTCATTTTTATTTCTATCATAAATTATTAATCTTTTACTTCACTAATATTTTTGCCGTTGGGCCTTTTTTTTAAATTTCTGTCTGCTAGGCAACGTGAATGACGCGATGTTTTTCTCGGTGCGTCGCACAGAACGTGAACGCAGCAGTTGCGTTCAACAGCACCATGCTCCACACAAACAAACAGCCCCGTCCAACTCTGTGTCCTGCCCGCCTGAAACAACCACGGTGTGCGGGGAGTACCGAGGGTGGCTCCCTCTAACTTACTCCGAGGCAAAACACGACGTGTAATGCAGTTAAATGAGCTTTTGTCAGAGTCCACATATAACTGACGTTATCCTGTCGGTTGGTTGTATTGGAACTTGGAAGCTCCATAAGCTACCGTTGATATAACGTCATTTCCCTCTCTGTTCTTAACGGTTAAAACCTGAGAGCCGTTGCTCAACTGTCAAACCCAGCTAACATCAATGTCGACAGCTCAAAACTAATCGTCTGCCTGTCTGTGTGTCTGTCCGAGTCTGTCTGTGTGTACGACACCAGTGGCCGGTTGTATTTACCGAGGTGGACGTGACGCCAAATTTAAAGTAGCAGGCAGCCAGGGGGGGATTGCCCTCAGTTGAGCGTTAAGCTATCAGGCTAACACGCGGCCAGGGGAAAGGTTTGTGGAGAAAAAAAATCATAATAAATCTGTTCATTCAGCCCTCTTTCATCGGAGAGACAAAACCCGGTGAGACTGAGCTCATTCGCGGGTCTTCGTGAGCGCTGCCCACCGTCCCATGCCCTCTGCGTGGATGGGAGATAGTTAGCCAGCGGAGCCGAAGAGGAAACCAGCCAGCAGTTCTGTTCAACATGGAGGATGAAGAGGTTGCAGAGAGCTGGGAAGAGGCGGCGGACAGCGGGGTGAGGAACACACTAACGCCGGACAAATACTGTGCTAAACAAGGTTATAACCCGGTTTCTGTTTGACATTCAGACAGTGACACAGTTTGGGTCTGCGATACGGTGGCTGTGTGCGCTGCTTTAATGGAGAAACGTGTTATTTATGTCGGGTTTTCCTCATGAAAGAAAGCAGCCTGGCTTCCTGGCTGAGTCTTGCAGGCCTCGCTGTCCCACAACGACGTGCGGCTGAACCTGGTCTCATGTCCTTTTATTTACTCAGCACATTATTATGATGTGTGGACAAAGATAATACAAAGAAAACTTAATTTTTACGAGGTGGACTTTTGACAGTAATGTTTAGACCGGCCCGTTGCGGAAATGACCGGCTGCACCCAGGTGGATCATTACAATACCATAACAGTGCAGTAATGTTCAGGTTTTATGATTTAATCAAATGGATAACAGAATTTTCTACAGGGTGTTGGTAGATTGATTCTGATTTGATTTTGGCAAACTGTGCTAACTATTATTATCTTATATCTATATCTATATCTGTCCCTTGTAATTACACTTTATATTCTCTACTATTAATATTAAAGGGTAAATGTGAAACATGCAATATAATAGTCATAGCTATGTTTTCATTAGTGTATAATCACCTTAAAATAAGAATTGTTGTTTTCGTTACCTTAGAAAGAGCCATTTTAATCTACAGAGGGAGCGGGTCCTGTTCTATACAGGCCGCCATTTTGAACCGCCATGTTTCTACAGTAGCCCAGAATGGACAAACCAAACATGGCCATAGTTTTGCGTAACCATATTTTTTCCTATATGCTTGTAAGGGGAGGGTGAGGCAAGTTCACCACTAAAAGGCACTAAATCCTACATGCTGGTGCTTTGATGTAATGTAATTGAGTTAAGCTGCATTTTTATGTCCTCCTGATTATGACTGAATAGTAACCTGAAATCCAACAGCTGGGAATGTGTTGATATTAACTCAGAGATATAAGACACTATGTTTACAACTTACCCTGCCAACTTTTTATTGGTTTAAAACTAAATATGAGTTTCAAAATGCTGTCTGAAAATGTACATAACAAATGTAATGAATCACATTTTAAGTGCTGTAACCCCTTTAGCCCTCCATCCTCTTAACATAGGAAACTAACTAATACTCCATACAGTGTATTGTAAAAGCCATAATCTGTAGTATGTGCAGTTCTCCACGCACACCTATAATTTGTTTTTAAATTAGTTTTGTATTCAGTTTTGTGTTATTTTTTTGTTTTAATAGACTAATACCATACTGTCAACAAAAAGCAAAAGTAAACTCATGGTTGCTATGAAAAACAGATCAATATCTTGACAATTGTAATTTGATCTTGTAGCTGTCCATGTGTATAGGGTGCGGACTGCATTGTCAATTGTAGGTCACCTGTGTGACCAGAGATCAAATCCATCCCTCACCACAGAGAGCTATTGTTGGTTTCTGATGATTGAACTGTGTCATATCTTTCAAAAGCATGTTTTGTTAGATTCCAGCAACCAGGCAGCCACTTCCGGATCCTGTGAAGTTTATATGTTTGCTGCACTGGTCAATGAGACAGATGGTGAACATGTTGGACAGTAATACCATATGTAATAAATATGTCTTTCTCCTCAGGAAATTGAGAGAAGGCTTGAGGCTAAGCTGAAAATAAATCAGGAGGCAAAGTAAGCAAAGAGAAAAGTTATCAAAAATGTTCAATAGATGGTAAGAATGCATAGAAGTTTTTTCCAGTAATTTTGTTCCTCTCTCACCTTTTGACCTTTACAGGAAATCCAGCTTGGGTTCGGGTGGCTCACCTGTTCGAACTGCTATTGTAATCCAGGATGACTCTCTGCCTGCGGCACCTCCACCACAAATTCGAATTTTGAAACGTCCTTCAAATAACGGTACGGCAGGAAACGCTGCATCCTCATCTCGTCCCTCTCAGCAGATGAAGTCTTTGGCCCAGCGGGAGGCGGAGTACGCAGAAGCCAGACGAAGGATTTTGGGAAGTGCTTCCTCTGATGATACGCCTCAGGACAATCCATGCCAGGACAGGTAACAACAGAGAAGAACAACAATCACTAGACACAATAGTTTGAACTGAGAGGAAAATACCTGGAATTGAAAAACACTGTTATGTAACTTGTTCTCATTTCTCCTCGTATCGTTAGGCCAGCTCGTATGAGCACGCAGCAACCATCAGAACCAGTTCGTCCAAACAATCATGTGATCCGCCAGCCCACCGGCCCAGATGGCACCTCAGGCTTCCGACTCTGCAGATAAACAGGAGCTACCTGCTGCAAGGAATCAGCTGTCTCCCTGAGAGGGCATGAAGGGTGGCAGTTTAAAAGGGGATGCGTGTGGTATGAAGAGCAGAGTGGTGGGATGATAAATATTTGACAGACATTAGAAATATGAAGACGTAGCATGGATTGAAATCAACTTCTCCACCCTCTCTCTACTCTGCTTACTGGCATGGTCTTTGCCTTTCACCTTGTCTTTTCCTTCTGGGGAATGTTGCAAGGGGCTGGCAGAGATCAGCCAAAGATCTGAAACCCCTTCTGTTCCACACTGTGAACAGGCTTTTGCCTCACATCCCTACACACTGTGATACTTTGATGTACCATGAGGTGCCCTATGATTTTAAGTATGATTGGCCGGCTGAGCGCCAGGGCATCAGGTGTCTGTCTCTTCAGGGAGAATAAGGAGACCTCGTTTATCTGTGGGAATTTCCCCGGAGACGTGCAAACGAACAAGCTGGCCTTTCCACTGATGGAGCGTGGATCATGGCTGGGTGTCCACCGGGGAGCTGGCCTCAGTTTGTGGAGTTCAGTGGAAATTAAGTGCTTGACAGTGCTGAGAGTTTGCTGTGTGTTCAGCAGCTTGAGTGCAAGGTGATAGAAAGTCAAACTGATCCAACCCTTTTAGTGAAAGTGCACAAAAGTGCGTTTTAATACTGTAGTTGCATAGCAATGGCAGAGGCCCAGACCAGCACTTTCCACAGTCCACAGGCCTCTTGTTTGGCACTGGTGGCTATGAAAGAAATGCCCGGTGGGCACACAGCCTGTGGCCAAAGATTATAGATCGGAAGGACAGAATGTCACAAAATCTAGGCTTATTCAAGCAATAATAATGAATTTACTCCCTGGATTATTTTTTACTTATTGCCTAATTACCTGTGCCGTGTTTTGTTTCAGATTATCTTTTGTTTTAAACAGTTTACGTTGTTTCTTCATGTTTTTTTTCTGAGACATAATATCTTTAGGTCAGGAGATCAGTAGTGTATCAGATTAGATGACGTAGTCTGCATAGGAAACTGTACTGGTAGTGTCATATTCAATTTGTTCAAATTGGAAAAAGTCAGACCTATTCATAAAGTGAAAATCCAAAGTTATTGTGCATGTCCCTCTGTGTTGCCTTGCTGTTTCTGATCAGAATAGATATGTTGAAACTTCTTTTATAGCCAGCTGCACTGCATCTGTCGCAGTATATTGACCGATTGTGCTATTGATGGTGGTTGCTTCAGAAATAACGGTTTGATGCCCAGTGTGGAAGAAGATATAACCACATGACCGCTGCTTTATTTTGGAAAAAACTGTCAGGGAAACTTGTGGCAACAACTACTATTAGAAATCTCATCTCAGCCAGATTCCACAGCCTGGTCTTTCCTGTGGTGGTTTTCACACAAAAGGCTTTAACACCATTATTTGTTGCCACCTATTGAAAAATAAATCAATCTCATGAAATACTGATGAGTTACTAGTACTGATAGTTACTGGCAGTTTCACAGCAAAATGAACCCACAGCAATCTTTGAACCTTTTGTCACTTGTATGCCTTAAATGAGAAATTCCTGGCTACATTTTCCAGTGGGTAGTGCTTGTTAATCTTGTGCTCTTTTTGTGCACTTTGTGATTATTTCATTGAATAAATCCAAAGCTTATAGCTGCACTCAGCATGAGTTTTAGGCAGACACAAAACCAGACTCAGTAAGAGTGCAATAACGATTTTCTTACACAACTGTGCTTTTTAACAAATAATTTCCAGTGCCAGTCAAACCGCTGATTGGAAATACTCACAAGAACTGTAACGAATAGAAACTATGATTAACAGTAAATTAATTTGCATCTACACTGCACCAAACTTATTGTTAAAACTACTGCGTTTGTATCACTCATTCCAACATCACCAGTGAGTGCAGTGTTGACAAATGTCTGGGAAATTAAATGACGACTTCTTGTTGTTTGATGACAGAAATATAAATTGTCCATTACAGCTCAAACATCTCAATATTTCTGTTTTATGAGATAGTATACACTGTTTGTAAACTGGGCCTACAACATCAAGGATAAAGCCCACAATACATGCTGTTCCCTGGGGATCAGATTCAATTCTTGAAATAAAAGTGATTTGTAATCATTTTAAATTGATAATTAAAATCAACCCATCCTGTACCTTTGTGATCTACCCATGAAGCTTTGTTTCAGCCATTCACAGCCACCTGTCTAGTTTTGATGTCAGTGTTTATTTTAAAAACACAAATGACATTTGAATACCCTTTAATAAACACACTTCAAAAACAGAACTTGGTGTATGTTTGTTTTATATTTTGTAAAAGTTGCTTCTTGAGCAGAAAGTTGAATGAATTTTAAGCATATATGTTATTTATATAATAATATATATGTGATACTGATCGAAATGAACTGAGTGTGGTTAATATAAAGACATAAAAATTACAGAACATTTAAGCCTTCAGTGGCAGTGGCTGCTTGTATTCAGTAGTTGCACCAGTGACAGTGTGATTATGTCTTCAATGCGTCATATTCACACTAACCTGACAAATTGGAAACTCTGACAATGACAGCTCTGGGCTGAGAAACCTTATTTAAAATCATGAAGTGCTTTAGGGCTCTCTCTCAAACTTTTTAAGCGCAAACTTAGTTATCAGGATGACTTGCAAGTCGGACATCATACTGGTAAAGAAATTATGTTTTAAAAGGTTGTTAAGAACACGTTTACATGTACATAGCAGCAATTAGTGTGTATATGTTTTTGCTCCAAGAAGGCGTGATTAATGATTTGTTTTCAGCTGATTTGATCAAACAACACATTACCAATAATATAAAACAGGCTATTAAATTAAGAGATTGATACATTTTATTAAACTACATGTGTAATATGAGCCTCACACACATTACTGGAGACAGACAACCTCCAGCCACAGTTAATGTGATTTTACAAACTGCTTCTATTCCTCATGAAGCATCGGGAGCCTGTTCTTCCTCCTTCAGTCACACACACGTGACATTGATAAAGGTCTGCAGGCGTTCATGTTTAGTGAGTTCAAGAAATAGTTTTTCAAACTAATAACATTAACGATGGCTCTGTTCCAGTAAGTCTCCCAGTAAGTCCTGACAGTGTGACAGTGAGCAGGCCTGCACAATACACCTTTCTCACAGCAGTCTTTTTGACATGAAATAGTAGGGTAAACAGGTGATTTCACTTATTTTGGCTGATTAGACACCTTAATCTAACTCTCCTGTCTCCTGTGGAATATACAACATTACATCATTATCTTTATCATTAGCAGTGGTGGAATGTAACTAAGTACATTTACTCAAATACTGTTCTTGAAGGAAAATAAAAAAATAAAGGTTTGTCAAGGTTGAGGCACAAAGAGAACATCTTAGTTAAGGTATATTCACTGTGACTGTTGTTGCATGCACTAGATGATCTGTTAAACATCTACAGACAAACCTGTTGGTGGACTCCAAATACAGTGCCACCCATTTCAGACAGAAATATTATTTTTTACTGCGCTTCCTGTCCAGTGAAAACCATGTATCTCCAATAGTGGTGGTTTTTATTTTTTATTTTTGTGATAAACCGAAGGGCTAAGTGTTTAGGCTAAATTTATGGGTTGAGAAAGTTCTCCCACTTCTTGAACTGAATACACTATTTAAAGTAAAGGGTCTGAACAGTGATACTGTGCAAGGTTCATTCAGAGTCTTTTTTACCAGGAGGGAAAAGGAATAACACAGTTGTTCAATTTTCAGTGGATGAAGTAATAAATAAGGAATACCTCACCCAAAATGCATAATTATGTAGTTGTCTCACACTATGGGTCAGTATTTATTACAAAATATGCACCTCTTCTATGACTAATACTTATTACATAATGATCCCTACTGAATTAATAGAGAAGTTAAATAACAAACTGTAACTACTACTGGCCCATTTTTGTAGTAGTCTTACAAGAGTAGTCTTATATGTCACTGTTTATAACACAGGGCGTAAATAGGGGCATAAACCTACTACCTACTTCTCCAGACACCACTACACCACTGGATCTGAACACCTCTGGATCTGTATGTATTATCCCCTTCAACTGTCACTGCAGCCATTTGAGGTATATATCATCAGTCTGTCTTTATATATAACTATATATATATATATTTACACTGAACAAAATTATAAACGCAACACTGTAGTTTTTGCCCCCATTCATCATGAGCTGACCTCAAAGATCTAAGTATGTCTATCTAAGATACACAAAAGGCCTATTTCTCTCAAATATTGTTCACAAATCTGTCAAAATCTGTGTTAGTGAGCACTTCTAATAATCCATCCACCTCACAGGTGTGGCATATCAAGATGCTGATCAGACAGCATGGGTATTGCACAGGTGTGCCTTAGGCTGGCCACAATAAAAGGCCACTCGAAAATGTGCACTTTCACTGTATTGGGGGGGGCAGTATCTGGTGTAACCACCATTTGCGTCACGCAGTGCAACACATCTCCTTCGCATAGAGTTGATCAGGTTGTTGATGGTGGCCTGTGGAATGTTGGTCCACTCCTCTTCAATGGCTGTGCGAAGTTGCTGGATATTGGCAGGACCTGGAACACGCTGTTGTATACGCCGATCCAGAGCATCCAAAACATGCTCAATGGGTGACATGTCCGGTGAGTATGCTGGCCATGCAAGAACTGGGATGTTTTCAGCTTCCAGGAATTGTGTACAGATCCTTGCAACATGGGGCCGTGCATTATCATGCTGCAACATGAGGTGATGGTCGTGGATGAATGGCACAACAATGGGCCTCAGAATCTCGTCACGGTATCTCTGTGCATTCAAAGTGCCTTCAATAAAATGCGCCTGTGTTCGTTGTCCATAACAGACGCCTGCCCATACCATAACCCCACCGCCACCATGGGCCACTCGATCCACAACGTTGACATCAGCAAACCGCTCACCCACACGACGCCATACACACTGTGTGCCATCTGCCCTGTACAGTGAAAACCGGGATTCATCCGTGAAGAGAACACCTCTCCAAAGTGCCTGACGCCATCAAATGTGAGCATTTGCCCACTCAAGTCGGTTACGACGACGAACGTCAGTCTGGTCGAGACTTCGATCGAGACCTCGATGAGGACGACGAGCAAGCAGATGAGCTTCCCGGAGACGGTTCCTGACAGTTTGTGCAGAAATTCTTTGGTTATGCAAACCGATTGTTGCAGCAGCTGTCCAGGTGGCTGGTGTCAGACGATCTTGGAGGTGAAGATGCTGGATGTGGAGGTCCTGGGCTGGTGTGGTTACACGTGGTCTGCGGTTGTGAGGCCGGTTGGATGTACTGCCAAATTCTCTGAAAAGCCTTTGGAGACGGCTTATGGTAGAGAAATGAACATTCAATTCACGGGCAACAGCTCTGGTGGACATTCCTGCAGTCAGCATGCCAATTGCACGCTCCCTCAAAACCTGTGACATCTGTGGCATTGTGCTGTCAGTGTTGCCAACTCCTCAGTAAGGGAAGCAGCTATCAACTTCCGGCGCGAGCAGGACGCTTATCCAGTGGCTCCGTGCGTGTCGTGTTGTTTTTACTACTTTATGTTTTTTTTTTTTCAACTTTTAACTCTTTATATTACACTGTGTAGAACTTTATATATCCTATGGATACAATGACTTCCTATGGACAACATAGCGGTGGACATCTTGTTTATTCAAGGGAGAAGCTGCTTTTCCACCACATACCTGAGGAGCTGAGGAGGAGGAGGCACCGAGGCTGCAGAGCCGAAGGTGAAGGCTAGCGGCTAACCGGTGGAAGTACAAGCCCTCGGTTCCGTCGATAGTGATGGGGAATGTGAACTGTCTGACCAACAACACGGACGAGCTGGCTACCCTTGTGAGGACGGACAGGACGTTCAGGGAGTGCATTTATTTTGCCTCTCTGAAACCTGGCTAACCCAGAACACCCCGGACACTAATGTGGATCTACCTGGATTCACTACAGTGAGAGCGGACCGGGACTGTGGACGCAGCGGTGAGAGCAAAGGAGGGGGACTCGCACTGTGTATCAACCAGAGGCATGTTACGGTGAATGAGATCGTGTGCAACAGAAACACCGAGCTGCCGGCGGTAGGTCTCAGACCGTACTACATGCCTGCAGAGTTCTCCCGCGCTCTTGTTGTTGGTGTTTACGTCCCTCCGCGTGCTCACGATTCAGAGACCTTGTGTGACGTAATCCACTCCACCATCGCGAGACTGCAAACAGGATACGTAACTAATACTGAAGTTAACATGATAATATTTGAGCAATAAGATTTCTTACTTCTCACATTTTTCTAGAAAACACAAAACATTTTAATCAACTAGTGATTATTGATGTCAGGAAACTTCAATAATCCAAAATAAAACAAAGATACATTACAGGGGAAGTTTTTAGGTTTTGCTGCTAGAAACTAATGTCACCTGTCTTTATTTGAAGAAAATGTTAATATTTCCTACAACTGATGTTGGGTTTCAGAGGGAAACTTTAGTGGTGTTTTAATTCTTACCAACGCTGCTTTAAATAAAGAGAAGTGCCAATGCAAGCAGGACGACATCCACAGTCACAACTGCTCCAATAATCAATATTATCTTCTCTGCATGTATCCATTAACAAGTGCCTGCTTACAGTGTTAACGTAAAAGCCTAAACACCTTGAGTCCTGCTGGTGGACCTGAGGAACATGTTCATTAAACCCGTAACATTAAACATTAAAGTGTTTACTGGGCTAGCAGCCAGCAGTAGTAGGCCAGCTTTTGTGTGTGTGTGTGTGTGTGTGTGTGTGTGTGTGCGTGTGTGAGTCCCAGTCAGAGCAGAACTGACCCCCCACTATATCACCTTTAGCAGCACTTACTATACAACATCATCACAGGATCAGGTGAGCAGAGAGCTGAGGAGGCTTCGTCCAAGGAAAGCTGCAGGCCGGGACAGAGTGTGTACAAGGATGCTCAAAGCCTGTTCTGCTGAACTTGGGGAGCTACTCCAGCATGTCTTCAACCTGAGCCTGCAGTTGGGGAGGGTCCCAGTGCTCTGGAAGACCTCATGTCTCACCCCGGTTCCTAAGACAAAACACCCCAGGTAGCCGGGTGACTTCAGACCAGTAGCACTGACAGCACACATTATGAAGACCTTGGAACGGCTGCTGCTCCATGTCCTCAGACCCCAGGTCCACCACGCACAAGACCCACTGCAGTTTGGATACCAGGAGACGGTGGGCGTTGAGGATTCAATTTTCAATTCAATTTTATTTGTATAGCGCCAATTCATAACAGAAGTTATCTCAGGACACTTTTCAAATCGAGTGGGTCTAGACCGAACTCTTTAAAACATTAAGAGGATGCCATCCTCTATCTGCTCCACAGGGATTCTGATTTCACCAGCGCCTTCAACACCATCCGGCCGCTCCTGCTGAGAGATAAGCTGACAGAGATGAGGGTGGACCCACTCCTGGTGACATGGATTATGGACTACCTCACGGAGAGACCACAGTACGTCAGACTGAAGGGCTGCAGGACCGTGCTCTCTCCCGTCCTCCTCACTTTGTACGCATCTGACTTCCAGTATAACTCTGGGCTCTGCCACATGCAGAAATACCTGAACGATACTGCGATAGTTGGCTGTATCAAGGATGGACGGGAGGGGGAGCACAGGACCTGCTACTCACAGACTTTATCAGGCTACTCAAGCTGTCAAGAAGTTTAAGATCTATCTACCTGCCTTGATGGCCAACTGTACCTCATCCAGCACTGACTTCAAAAAAGTCAGATACAAAATATTTTGAGGATCACTGTACATGGAGTATAAAACCTCAGCCATGTAGCAGTGTTCACTGGACTTGGTGAATGCGAAATGCAGTTTAAGCGCCTCCCACTGGTCCAAAATGCGTGAAACCGCTGGTTCAATGGAGAGCCAACGTGTGGCACACACCTTAGTTATTTGTAAGGGTTTCTCCCCACAGTTGATGGTCTCATATATGGCCTTGTAGGCCTCGCTGCACTTTAGAGACACTGAAAACCAATTTTGAGTCTCCCGTACGAAGTACTCCACACTACGGGGGATGGTGTCATTGGAAGCATGACTTACAGCAAGCTGCAGAGAGTGACACACACAGTGAATTAACACCAGATCTTTGAGGCCATACTCCTCCTTTAGCACTTTATGGACCCCATTGTTAATCCCCGTCATAACGGAGGCATTGTCAGTCCCTATCCCCAGGAGTTTCTCTTTTTTTAATAAGGATTAGTTGAACCACTTTCATATTCTGATGTGTGTTTCCTGTTTTTCTAGTGCTGCTGACTGGAAGCTGGATGAACCTGCGTGGAGTGGCAGGATGAAAATCACCGCTAAAGGCAAGATGGCCTACATTAAGTTAGAGGACAGAAACACAGGTAAACAAACAAACTGGCATCTCCTGAATTGCTTTACATTTAACTCTTTTACATCTGCAAGTAATAGACCTCTGTCACAGCAGACATTTTGACATTAAATAGTAAACACAAGAGGGTAAACACAGGTGTTACCAGTGATACTAGCTGTCTTGCCTTTTATTTTTCGATGCCCATGTTAACAGGTTAGAGCAACCACACTGCTCACATGAGCCGTACATCTCACTCACGTCTCGTATGCTGCTGCAGCAAAGCTTCACTAGTTTTTTTTTCTTGTTTCCCAGAAAAAATAGACATTGAAAAGGATCTGTTCACAGCTTTATCAACGTTATACCAGCAACATATACACTTTTTACTACAGTTTCATTGTCTATATCTGTAAAATACGTCACAAACATTAAGAAAACATTTATTTTTTTAATTCAACACCTGCTGTATCTGTTCAAGATTAAACACTCTCCAGTGTTTCTGTGCGCAAAATCCTTCATTTTTTTTAACAAGGCTTTTATTTTGTTGTGTTTATCAAAATGAGACTGTAGAAAGACGCTTGCAGCTGCAGCACTGCAGCGTAAACACTCCGTGAACACCACAGGGAGTGTGAGCTGTGTGAACTCAGTGAATACAGTAAAAACTAGTCACCAGAATTGATCCTTTCAAATGTTTATATGAGGTAACCATTAGAAATAATTCCTATAAATGCTTTCCAGTTCTATAACTCCAGTCACATTTATCACAGAGAGCCTTTTTAATAAAATATATACAGCTTTGTTTGTCACAGTGTGAACAAAGAGCCTGACAACATGGTGCCTGTCTGTCTTTGTCCTTATCAGCCGTCCCTTTTACTTGATTACTTGCAATGCAGAAAATAACCCAGGGCACCGTTGTTCTTTACAGGAGAGTTGTTTGCCCAAGCTCCAGTCGAACAGTACCCAGGGTGTGTAGTTGAATCTGTCACAGACTCCAGCAGGTATTTTGTGATCCGGATAGAGGATGGAAATGGTAAGACCCTTTCATCAGAGACTCTACAGAAAATAAGAGTAAAGTCGGCAGATATACTGTATTAAAGTCACATTTATATAAAAATACATTATAAGGATAAAAAAAAAAACAGATCAGTTAAATCAAAGTTTAGGATTATTTTAAATAATTTTAAAAAGAACAAGAGGGATTTGTAATGTAAGATTGATCCGTCACAGTTTGTAATTTAACTTTAGCTTTTATCATCCCTCAGTGTATATGCATTATGTGTGTGTATATAATAGTAATATAATGTAGGTATATATATTACTGTAGGAATATGTGTGTTTTTATGTTTTATCATGTGTTGCAAAAGGCTCCCTAATGTGATTTTGTCTTTACAATTGTTTTTATAAAGGACGTCATGCGTTTATCGGAGATGAGGGTGGACCCACTCCTGGTGACATGGATTATGGACTACCTCACGGAGAGACCACAGTACGTCAGACTGAAGGGCTGCAGGACCGTGCTCTCTCCCGTCCTCCTCACTTTGTACGCATCTGACTTCCAGTATAACTCTGGGCTCTGCCACATGCAGAAATACCTGAACGATACTGCGATAGTTGGCTGTATCAAGGATGGACGGGAGGGGGGAGCACAGGACCTGCTACTCACAGACTTTATCAGGCTACTCAAGCTGTCAAGAAGTTTAAGATCTATCTACCTGCCTTGATGGCCAACTGTACCTCATCCAGCACTGACTTCAAAAAAGTCAGATACAAAATATTTTGAGGATCACTGTACATGGAGTATAAAACCTCAGCCATGTAGCAGTGTTCACTGGACTTGGTGAATGCGAAATGCAGTTTAAGCGCCTCCCACTGGTCCAAAATGCGTGAAACCGCTGGTTCAATGGAGAGCCAACGTGTGGCACACACCTTAGTTATTTGTAAGGGTTTCTCCCCACAGTTGATGGTCTCATATATGGCCTTGTAGGCCTCGCTGCACTTTAGAGACACTGAAAACCAATTTTGAGTCTCCCGTACGAAGTACTCCACACTACGGGGGATGGTGTCATTGGAAGCATGACTTACAGCAAGCTGCAGAGAGTGACACACACAGTGAATTAACACCAGATCTTTGAGGCCATACTCCTCCTTTAGCACTTTATGGACCCCATTGTTAATCCCCGTCATAACGGAGGCATTGTCAGTCCCTATCCCCAGGAGTTTCTCTTTTTTAAGACAACACTTCTCCAGGAAAGCCACAACAGCTCGGGCTATAGATCTGGCATCTCCTCCCTCCAACTCAACAAGCCCCAGAAACAATTGTGTGTTTGGTGTCACTAAAGTCCCTTATCACAACCCCCAGGTACTTAGAAACACTAACACCTGTGGACTCATCAAGGAGGAGGCTGAAACTCTGGTCACCCACATCAGCAACCAACCTTTTGAGAAAGTATGGAGCTAGAACACCATTAATCATTTCACTGCACTTTGTCCTGTGCATTTTGAAGTGAGTAGCAGCAGTGGAGTCTGAGAATGCAGCTTTATATGCTTCTCCAATGTGATCACATGCCAGCGTGGAACAGTGTTCAGCAGTAGCTAATGCCGTGGTGGCTTCAGCCTTTTTTGCAGATTCATTTTTTTTAATCATTAATGGCAGCTTGCTTTGAGTGGAACTGTTATGAGGCTTTGCCTTTTGAATATGTTTTTGAGTTTACGTGTGTTTTTTTACATCACAAAGTTTGGCGTAGAAATCAGCCTTACAATACATGCAGTATGCCCGTGTATCATTTCCAATAAACGGCTTTAACCAGCCTTTAAATTCAGGGTTTGATTCCCACTCCTTTCTGTATTTTTGATTGTACAGTTTAGACATGATGAGCTAACGTTAGTGAGCTAGATGTTTAGTGTCACAGAGAGACACACACACACAGTGGACTGAGGCTGTGTGCTGGAAGGGGGTCTCGCCCAGGGTGTCATTCAAGATAGAAACGCCACTGGGTGGATGGATTACCTCGGCAATGGAGAAGAGCTCACTAACACAGATTTTGAGAGATTTGTGAACAATATTTGAGAGAAATAGGCCTTTTGTGTACATAGAGAAAGTCTTAGATACTTGAGTTCAGCTCATGATGGATGGGGGCAAAAACAAAAGTGCTGCGTTTATAATTTTGTTCAGTGTAAATATAGATATATGATATATGATATATTATAATATATATAAAGGTCTATGTGAGTCGGTGAAGCATCCTGACCACACGCGGCGCTGTCTGATTGGAGCACCGCGGCTCTGTCGGGATGTCGTCGGCCGGTTAAACTCCAGCCGAGGTGTCCATTGAGAGTCGGAAGTTGGGTTTGAGTTAGTGAAACTTGACAAAATGGCAGAAGATAACAGTTATGAGTCGATGCTCTGCGTGAAGCCCGAGGTCCACGTCTACCGGATCCCTCCGCGTGCTTCCAACCGCGGATATCGGTAAGATGACCTCAGAGAGCAGTAACGTCACCAACGTCTGTAACGTCAGTAACTGAGTGCGAGACAAGTGTCGGCCACCGAGCTAATGTAACGCACGTACACCCATTATCGGACAGCCGAGGTGTTGCGATAGACGTTTCTTACAGACTTTTCTCTGTTTAGCTGCAAAATCGAGTCTGTTACAGTCGACACAGCCACCGACCCGCTAAATACTCTGACATTAAATAGTTACATAGACGTTAGCTGGCTGATACTCATGCTAAGTGGCTAGGTGCGCATATAACGTTACGTTAGCTTTGTTACGACACACTAGCTAACAGCTAATTCTCCGCTGTGTCTGGACACTATCGCCTCAAGTGTGTCCAGAGACAGTTTCTCTCCCGGGAATTACACCTGCTGTTATTCGTGTTAAAAGTCAACCTTCGTGGCGACAGAGATAAGAAGTTATGACATTGCTCACAAGTTTAAAATGGCAGGGCTCAGGTCTGTCCGATAATGGACGCAGGGGTTCAGAGTTAATTCAGAGTTTGCTTGATGAATAATTTAGCAGCAATAATTGAGGACTGCTGTCTCATTGTAGCTCAGTTCAGTGAGCTGTGTGTTTGTTTGTCAGACAACATTATCGGAACAAACGAAGGAAAACATAATCTGACTGTTGTCACAACATTACAATTATTATTTGTCAGCGGACCGACAGTAATAATTAGGATAGAAATAATCTTTCTGCATCAACAAACTGAAGTTAGACAACCACAGCAACAGCAAAGGGAAAAAAACCCACTCACTGACTTTTACTGGAGCTTTCAACTGCTTCTCACGGGCTTCCTCCACGGGTCGGATTTGTGCAGATGTCATGAAGAAGACAGAAGACCGTGAGATGCAGTTGAAAGCTCTGGAAAAAGTAGACCTCAAAGTAGTATTTTTTTCTTGTCATATTTTGTTAATTAATTTGGACATAATATGAATAAACGGATTTATTTAGTCTGCTGCAGAGTGAGGATTTTTATTATTTTATGTTAATAGTGAAGGCTTTGTTTCAGATCAGAGTCTAATGATATCTTTAAAGGATCCACAGATGTCATGTTTGGGGAAAAGTCCAGTCTAACATGAATCCCAATGAGATGTATCAAAAGGAGCCAATAGATCCTTCAAAGAGTTTTTACAGATGAAAGTTGTTTCAGTCCTTTTTTTTTTTTTTTTTTTTTTTTTTACAGGATTGTCTTTCTTCTGTTGGCAGCCGAACAAAAGAGATCACTTTGTACACAAATGTCTCATTTTAGTCTTCCTGAAAACTTTTATTTTCACTTCCTCCCGCTGTGAGAAGCTACAGCTGCCTGTGTCAAAACAGCCCTCAAGTCAGCCATTTCACTGAATAAGGATTAGTTGAACCACTTTCATATTCTGATGTGTGTTTCCTGTTTTTCTAGTGCTGCTGACTGGAAGCTGGATGAACCTGCGTGGAGTGGCAGGATGAAAATCACCGCTAAAGGCAAGATGGCCTACATTAAGTTAGAGGACAGAAACACAGGTAAACAAACAAACTGGCATCTCCTGAATTGCTTTACATTTAACTCTTTTACATCTGCAAGTAATAGACCTCTGTCACAGCAGACATTTTGACATTAAATAGTAAACACAAGAGGGTAAACACAGGTGTTACCAGTGATACTAGCTGTCTTGCCTTTTATTTTTCGATGCCCATGTTAACAGGTTAGAGCAACCACACTGCTCACATGAGCCGTACATCTCACTCACGTCTCGTATGCTGCTGCAGCAAAGCTTCACTAGTTTTTTTTTTCTTGTTTCCCAGAAAAAATAGACATTGAAAAGGATCTGTTCACAGCTTTATCAACGTTATACCAGCAACATATACACTTTTTACTACAGTTTCATTGTCTATATCTGTAAAATACGTCACAAACATTAAGAAAACATTTATTTTTTTAATTCAACACCTGCTGTATCTGTTCAAGATTAAACACTCTCCAGTGTTTCTGTGCGCAAAATCCTTCATTTTTTTTAACAAGGCTTTTATTTTGTTGTGTTTATCAAAATGAGACTGTAGAAAGACGCTTGCAGCTGCAGCACTGCAGCGTAAACACTCTGTGAACACCACAGGGAGTGTGAGCTGTGTGAACTCAGTGAATACAGTAAAAACTAGTCACCAGAATTGATCCTTTCAAATGTTTATATGAGGTAACCATTAGAAATAATTCCTATAAATGCTTTCCAGTTCTATAACTCCAGTCACATTTATCACAGAGAGCCTTTTAATAAAATATATACAGCTTTGTTTGTCACAGTGTGAACAAAGAGCCTGACAACATGGTGCCTGTCTGTCTTTGTCCTTATCAGCCGTCCCTTTTACTTGATTACTTGCAATGCAGAAAATAACCCAGGGCACCGTTGTTCTTTACAGGAGAGTTGTTTGCCCAAGCTCCAGTCGAACAGTACCCAGGGTGTGTAGTTGAATCTGTCACAGACTCCAGCAGGTATTTTGTGATCCGGATAGAGGATGGAAATGGTAAGACCCTTTCATCAGAGACTCTACAGAAAATAAGAGTAAAGTCGGCAGATATACTGTATTAAAGTCACATTTATATAAAAATACATTATAAGGATAAAAAAAAAAAACAGATCAGTTAAATCAAAGTTTAGGATTATTTTAAATAATTTTAAAAAGAACAAGAGGGATTTGTAATGTAAGATTGATCCATCACAGTCACAGTTTGTAATTTAACTTTAGCTTTTATCATCCCTCAGTGTATATGCATTATGTGTGTGTATATAATAGTAATATAATGTAGGTATATATATTACTGTAGGAATATGTGTGTTTTTATGTTTTATCATGTGTTGCAAAAGGCTCCCTAATGTGATTTTGTCTTTACAATTGTTTTTATAAAGGACGTCATGCGTTTATCGGTCTGGGTTTTGCTGATCGCGGAGACTCATTTGACTTCAACGTAGCTTTACAAGATCATTTTAAGTGAGTTAGCTTCTCTTTTAAAGCTCTTTTTACTATCTAAACTGTTTATATGACCTGGTACATATTTCTAGACACACTTTGGTACATATCAGTGAATATTTTAAAATGTGATATTGTGAACAACATTCATACTCTGCACATTTAGCTTTGTGGACAATGGTGCATGATTTGTTGATATTCTAAATGAATGTAAAAGAGGTTCATACTTGTTACACAGGAGTGAAACCTGTTTGTTACGACGATTTCAGTGTAGTAGAATTGTAAAGATGCTGAACCATTAATCTCCGTTCTGATAATTACTATGTTTTCATACTGTGTTTTCTTAAGGTGGGTGAAGCAGGAGGGTGAGCTCGCCAAAATGGAAGCTTCTGAGAGCACAGCACCTAAACTGGACCTCAGCTTCAAAGAGGGACAGACTATTAAGATCAGCATTGGGGTGAGCATTTAACCCAAACATTAGAGACATAAAGGGTGAAATCATCAGGGTTCCAGCTGAAATAACCTGGAAATTTAGAGACTAGTTTTCATTGAAACATCTGGAAATTTATCAAATTATCCAGGAAATATTCTGTGTTGTCCAGGAAGATTTTAATAGTATTTTTAGCCTTTAATCAGATCGCCTACGTAAACCTAAATTAACCTATGTGTGGAAGATGTGCGTTATGACACTAAGTGGGTGTACCAGACGTGTAGCGGAACGTGCAGCAATCTTTTTGGTAGTGAGTTAATTTTTTTCTGTAGATGCCAGCAGAACTTGAAGCACAGTGGAAATACTTTGGACGGTCATATCTACATGCATACAGCTTATTAATAATACCATTTACATTGTGGTTAATAAATATGTCCACTGCGATGTTAATTGTACGTGCAACAAACACTTTCTACTAATTTAAATAGGCTAATAAGTGAGAAGATGAATTTTCCTTAAAATAAACTCGATTCTACTTCATTTGAACTGTTATTAATGGGAATTAAAACTGTACTAAACTCTCTGTGGCGAGAACGTAACATAACATAGTGTAATATAAACGCTGGCTGCCTACCTGTAATTAACCTAAGTCACTTCATCATGAACCCTGCATCATTAGATAAGGAAGAATAAAACTGGAGGTAGTCTCAGTAACACTGCTGCAAGTGCTGTCCTGTATTGTCAAGAAAACTGGAAAATGATTTCTTAATGAAATCCCAACTAATAAATTGAATAATGATGATTTTATGAAGAAAAAAATAAACAAATCAACATTCAGAAACTGTTGTAACTATGTCTGTCACAGAACATCAAGAAGAAGGAAGCAGGCGCCAAAGCACGGCCCATGGGTGGCGGCCTGCTCCCACCTCCTCCAGGTGCAAAGGCTGGAGGAGTCATACCTCCTCCCGGGGGACAACAGACTGACTCAGCTGAACCGACCAACACTGGTGACCACCGTTCTTCTCTATCAAATCACACATTTTTTTTAAAACATCTTCACATGAGTGAAACAATATTCATGCTTTCTAAAATGTCTTCATTTCCAGCTGCTCTTTTTGACTTTGGGTCCCCCGTCCCTGCAGCCCAACCCAGCTCTGACATGTGGGGAGATTTCACATCCGCAGGTTCCAAGTAAGTTTTCTTTTCTTTTCTTTTTCCAGAAAATATCTTGTTTTATTTTTGTCTGTGTACTCATCCATCGTGTCCGTCTGCCATATTTGTGTTCATGACAGTTTTTTTTTTTTTATTATTCTGTCCCTCTCCATCACTGCTCTCGTCATCCACCCTCCTCTCCCTCCACAGCTCCAGTAAAGATGCTGTCAAATCAGGATGGGTGCAGTTTAGTTGAGTTGTGAGAAACCGTGCACACACTCAGGTTGCATACATTCCATGGACAGGACGATTGTGGAAACAAAAGAAAATTAAAAAGAAAGGAACTGTTAGCAAACTTGACCGGCTCATTCACTGCACCTGTTCTTTAAAGAATCTGTTCACATAAACTAAAGCCCGCTGACCAACACTCTCTGGAGGAACAAACAGTGAAATGTATATATTTTTTACAATCCTATTCATATGCAGTGGGGGGGGGGTCTTTCTTTCCTTTTCACTGTTAATCTGTCCAGAAATCAGATTTGTGTCCCTTTTTATTCTCGTCTTTACAGCACAATGCATTTGTTTTCCTGCTCCGATCATGCAGTTATCTCATTACACCAGCACCACTCATCTCAAGGTTGTTTTTTATCATTTGGAAAAAGGTAAATGGTTTACCTACTGAAGTATCCATATTTTTTTGCTGTATACCAGTATGTGTGTGTTGTTTCTGTTTCCTAGTATTTTTAGGAGATCTTGCAAAGCTATATTGATATTTGATTATTAGTTTTACATTACACCTCTTTAGCCTTCATGAAAAGATACAAGATTTTTTTTAAATCACGTTGTTGAATAAAAAAGTCATGATTGCCATTTTGTCTTTCGTTCAGTTTAAAAATGTTTTTTTTTTTTGGGTTTATTCATGTTTGTCTTTGTGTCCGACCTTCATGTGTCTTCGCCTCGTGTGTTGTTGCTTTTTTTTAAATGTGCCTTTTACCAAATTGAAACTTCCTTCCTTGTTGCTAATTTGCATTGAGTATTTGATTAAGTGCCTTTCTGAAAAAGATCTCTTCTTGTCTTCTTGTAAATAAACAGTATATTTCATCGGCTCTTGTTTTATTTATGTTGTAAACTAGTCGCTCATGAGATTGTAGAGCTTGTTCTCCATTTACAGCAGCAGTTTTTACAAGAGTGTTGGACCCATTAAAAGCTTTTGGCATGAATATGTTCATAATACGAGGAGAACATGTATGTATGAGTACTGTCTTACTTTCAATAAGTTACCAGTTACATCATCTAAAGGATTGTTTTTAAGATGGCTAGTTTTTATTTTTTATTAAATTAAACTTAATTTAGGAAATGTTGATACATTTTCTTCAAGTTATTTTATTGTTCTGAAATTGGTCATATGTCCATTTATTACAAATCATAGATTTGCCAATTTTCTGTCTTTTCCATGTTTAGAAACACCAAAAGTGATTTTTGTTTTAAATAAATCCCATTCAAAGTGCATAAAGGTTAAATGTAGGACAGGTTTTACTGATGCATGGACAGTATTTCAAATTCTTCAATAGTAATATATGTTATTAGGATTTCTTTGATTCTTTTATCTTTTCATTTTATCCAGAACTACCAGACAACAAGCCAATGTGGGTGCTTTGTATCAGCCCCGTTTTATTCCTCAAAAAATGATTGCACTTAAGACTTTTACTTGAGTAATTTTTGAGAAGAAGAGAAATAAGACACTATTTGTGAAAAATAAATTAAAACTACAACTTTGAAATACATTTGGTGTAAGTTTTTGAAACTACGTACAGAAATTACCAAATGTCAGCTAAATCAATTAGAAATATTAAGATAATTTAGTCATATTTTATATATGAAACTATACAGGAGTTCAGGAAATAATAATTATTATGTGGTATTATCTGGATGCGATAGACTAGTTCTGGATATATTTGGGATTTTTCTAATAATAATCTTTATGAAAAACAAAACAATGTTTAATGAGGGTTTTCACTGAAATAATCTGAACATGAATCCAGCACGATGACAGACAGCAGTGTGTGTGTTGAGCCTGCAGACTGCTGCTGTGAGTGAACTGGAAGTCCCTCCCCGGAAAAAGCATGGAGGAGATTTCGGAACAAGGCAACACCGCCTGCAAGCAGCAGCTGATACACTGAGTATAACCCGCTGTGGATGCGCTCTGTTTCTGCCTCTGTGGTCCTACAGCCCGCTCAGAGGACTGATGGAGGGTCGGCCGGACAAAGCTCATCGAACTGGTCTCTCGAGGTGAGACAGTAAGTGAGACAGTAAGTGAGACAGGGAAGTGGATGTTGTGAGTGTAGCGCAGCACACAGTGGATGTCGCTACATGAAGCGGGTTCATATCCAGGCTGTTGTTTCCACAGCAGCGCGCTTGTGTTTGTATATCAGACTGCTGCTGCTCAGAGACAATACACCTTTATTTATAAACTGTTTTATTTGCTCTGATGCTGCGAGGTTTAACGTACAAGACCCCCCTCCTCTTCCTCCCTCCTCCCTCCTCCTCCTCCCCCTCCTCCTCTATCCTCTAACTTTTGAAAACTTAGGCGTGTCCCTTTGGATGTACTCTTCATGTAGTCTGCTGCGGTTGCAGAAAGAGGATGTTGGTGATGAATTAAACATATAGTAGATGTTCCCTTTATGTGTGTGAGAGAGAGGAAGCAGTTGAAGTTGATTCCTGATTAGAGATTAGAATATGTATTCATTTATTATGTATTCATATTATAATATTATTGCTGGTTGTGAACGTACAGGCTGATAGAAATGAAGCTGGAGTGAATAAGTGATGAGTTTGGGATGAACTGGTTTGTCTGTGGGGGTGAAAGATCAACAGGTGTGTGTTTATTTCATCAGGTTAAAAGCTCACATGAAATCAGTGTCAGTCATCTACCGACTGGCCAGCTGGGGGCGCTACAGATGTTAAACAGCGAACACTAAATGGTCTCTGTGTGATCAGTTTCATGTAGGGATGTCACATCGTACACACACAGCAGGGACCTATTAGGACAATTTAATAAAAACTTAAAATCTTAAATACTTGAACTCCAACATTAACAGTATCTGTAATTACTGAGGCGTCTTAGTAAAAATACAAACAGAAACATTTATCTATTATATTATTATGTGTGTGCTCTTATCTCCAAATGTACTGTTATACTTATGAGGACCTCTTTAAACGTTAGACCCTGAAGGAGAGATGCAGTAGTGATGGTTAAGGTCGGTGGCTGGTGAATGTATTTTGTCAGTGAGGGTCCTCACAAGTATACAACTACAAATGTGTGTGTGTGTGTGTGTGTGTGTGTGTGTGTGTGTGTGTGTGTGTGTGTGTGTTCAGGCCAGGCTGGGGCTCTGGTCCTGACACAATGATCTTCTTGTAACTATGACAATCCAAACACAGAGCGATGTTGTGCAGACCCCCGTCATGCTTAATGCTGGTGTCATTTTATATTCACATGTCTCCAGGCTCCTTTTGAACAACACTGATGTTAAATGTACTAATAATTACTTAATGTGTCGTACTTAAACAGAACAAGGCAATCTGTGAATATTTCATTATGAGTTTATTGTATTGAAAGAGTTTGAAAGTGTCCTTTTTATATTTATATATTCTATATATATATACACTACTCACAAAAAGTTAGGGATATTCTACTTTCGGGTGAAATTTATGGAAAATGTAAAAAGTTGATGCTACAGTGATATTACATCATGAAAGAAGGGCATTTAAGTAGAAGGTCAAATTAAGATCACCTGGAAAGGTTATAGTGCATTTTATGTACATTCTGAAATTTCATCCGAAAGCCGAATTTCCCTAACTTTTTGTGAGTAGTGTAGTTTCCTAACAGTAGTGAGAACGGGGACTGTTGTAACACATGGTGACTTTTTGTTGCTCTAAAACTAAAGATAATTGATTTATTATCGCAAAAGACAAATAAAAGCAGCAAATCTTCACATTTAACAAGATGTTTTCTTGAAATAAACAACATTTAAACGATTAATAGATTAACAGTGTTGATCGTCTTTCTTAATCGACATAATTAACTGTTTTAACTTAACACATTGTTGTCGACTTTAAAGACGATGGTGTGTTTGAGTGCGATTGATAATATTTTTATCTCCATTATGTTTTAAGTTCTGTGAGCTCACAGTTCTTGACCATACCAACCAAACCAGTCTTATCTACGAATGCTACCAACATGAACTTTAGTAGACCCAAACTCAAGGATCTGCAGTTGTTGTGGTTTTATGTTGATTCGGTAGGTCCAGCTAACTGAGGTTGATTTACCAACTGGACAAAGCGGGCAACTGCCCCACCGCAGGACCCCAGAACCTCAGGAATTGTGTGGTAATTTGATTACTGATGAGTGTAAATTGAAATGGCAAGGGCTTTAAGAAGGCTCCTGCATTTTTACCCAAATCTGAGGGTCTCTTATACGGGGCATCGTGTCAAAATCCAGTTTTAATACCTTTAATCTTTCACATTCTTAAACCTGCAATAACAATTTTTTTGTCTACAGCAGAAACAAATGGGAACACACTGACTTATCGTCCCCTTGCTATGCTTTGTATATAATATATAATATAAGCCATACGTAAGTACGTTAATCTGCGTACGCACGGCTGCATGTAAACAGGGACGTTTGTGGAATATTAACTTTGATGAACTGCTTTGTAAGAAAATAGTCTTTTCAGAATAAGGGCAAAACCGCAGTATTTTGTGCACGTAAACAAAGTTGTGTAGGTTTACCATAAAACTTTATATCATAGCCATATTATAACCAGAGTAAGCTGGGGAGCATGTGGGGCCTGGGGACTTTTGCCCTGGGGCCAGATAACTGGTCGATCCGGCCCTGCTGTGCGAAAGCTGCATGCTGGGTTGTTGGGTCTCACTGGAATTGGCAGCAACCTGCAACCATAACTTATAGAAAAACATCTTTGAACTAACTTGTACACAAAAACACAAACATAAACATATATAAAGAAATTCTTAAAAAAAAAAAAAAGGAATAGATGGTGAGAACATGTTCAGGTTTTTGTCCTTGAATGGTGAGGACTATTAAAGTTTTATTTCGGCCTGTCTTTGTTGTGGTCTGGAGGGTTTTTGAATGAGAGCAGTGAGAGTGGAGTAGTGGAGGAGGAGGAGGAGGAGGAAGAGGAGGAGGTGTGCATCTTAAACCCTACTAATCCTACTGTCCTCAATCTCTGCCTGCCTGTACCGGAGGAGGAGGCGACAGGACTCACACCCTCTGCTCCTCTGCGACCAAAACTTTATCGGCTCCGACAGCAGCACATAAACCAGCTCCAGGTTGAGAACTTTTCCTTTTTTTTATCGCACTGGACGGCTGCAAAGCGAAAGACGATCCGTTCAGCCTGTGAAGTGGTCGCGTTTACTCGGCGTTAATCCTCTTCGCTGGAGGAGTTTTAAATATCTGCGATGAGCGCTGGGGAAAACTCAGACACCGACTCCAACAAACTGGAGTCTGTGATACAGGTGAGACACACCGGGCCTTCCTCCATCCCCCCCACCGCCTCATGGCTGATTTAACACACAGTGCTGGTGTGATGTGACAAATAAAGCTGCTGGTTTATGTTAGTGCTGCTTGGTTGTTGTTGGAGGACATCATTGTGTTTCACTTCCATCATCTTTCAGTTTATTATACATAGTTGTCATTGCCTGTTTATGTTGTTACATGTTTTCTGGGGCTGTCTTTAATGTCATTTTCTCTCTAAGTGTCTCAAAAGGTAAAGCAAATGTCTGTGTTTTGTGCTTTAGAGGCTGGAGGAGAGTGTTTTGTCTGAGGAGAAGAGGCTGACCGTCCGGGGCCCTTCACCAGATGCCCCCCCTACATGCCTGCCAGCACGAGTACGAGAGATTGTCACAAAGAACCTCACCGATAGCTGTGAGTTGCCACAATCTTTCTCCCTCATCGTGTCAAATGTATGTTTTGTTCTTCTTTGCCTGAGTGCCGTCCCTGTCTCTCAGCAGCTGGAGCCATGTCCTCTGTCATGTCCCTCCAGGAGGAGAACCGAGCGCTGCAGGGAGAGCTGGCGAGGCTGGAG